CATTACCATCCCTGCAGCACACGTCATACATGTCCAGTACACATTATTGTATTTTAAATTATTTTCTTCATCGACCCTCCAGAGATAAAGTTTAGAAAAATATGTACTAGATCAGCAAGTGAATTATGGTTTTCATAATCACTTTTAAGCCCCAACAACACCATTCAATATTTTGTTTTCTTCTATTAAAAGCAAAATATTTTTGGAGTGTACTTAGCCTTTAAACACAACTGGCTATTCTAAAACTCTTTATTTTCCCAAGAGAGTGAAACAAGAAAAGGAGCTACTTCAACGTAGTAGCCCTCTATAGAGAGGCACTCACTATATATGTCAGGTTTTACCACCACCACTAATACATGTATGCCTGTGAAAAGAAGGCTGCACATTTGATGAAATCAACACATAATTAGTCCCTCCTACACATCTGATAATCAGCTTACAATCGGTCATCCTCACAAGCTTGTTACACGCTTCTCCGTCAACACATCCGACCCCATTCTTTCGGCTCCTCCATGAAAAAGTCAAAAAAGCTTCAAAAACCTCAGACGGACAGACGATGATGATGATGGATGGCTGGCTGCCGGACCTGGGAGGCTCATGCCAAACCACTTTCAAACTGTCTGTTTGGAGCCAGAAGGGCATTAACTTGTATACTTTAAAGGCATCGTTTAACAATGTTAAATCTGAGATGCACGGCCCTATGGGTTATCAGTGTCTGTGATATGGTGTAATATTGAAGCCCTAATAAAAATTGCGCTTCAAAATGATCATGAAAAGCCTCAAAAAGAAAAAATCTTTGAGTGACCGGATTTACCATACTCACTTTCCCCTATAGACTGTAGTGTTATAAAAACCGTTAGGGAAACGGTTAATGAAATTTCGATTTCCAATCATAAATATCTTGATAATCAGACAGGCGATCGGCTTGTAAAGTCATGGGGGTCCTGACTGACCTAAAGGTTTATAATTATCATGGCAGCATGAGCTATGTCCAGAATTTAGTTTAAGAATCTGATGCAAAGTTACCCAACCCCTTTAGTTTAGAGTTAACAAACTTCTGATTCCAAAGAAACATATTTGTCACTCTGAGGAAATCATCATTTTCCTTCCAGGTAGACCGCATTTACCGACCAGTCATGAGTACTGCATGTCAAGACTGACTTTATTTGTAAAAGACACATTAAAGGTAAAGACCAGTTCTGGTCATGCAATTGCATTGCGAAAGAAACGTTGTGGAATCGATCAGAAAAGGTTGATCATCTAGCATATTGTACTGCAAGGTTCTGGAATTATCAAAATGATAAGAAATTTGGCCCAGTCTTGGTAAAGTTACAAGCACTGTACACAGAAAGATGTATATGGGACTACGGGTCACGTGCACGATATCTATCCGGTCCAGATAGTTATAATAATTTACCAAATATATCAATTAGTAGGTGATTTCCCGGCAACATTTGTATCATTGCGTATTAGTAAAAAAAAAAATCTTTCACATGATTGGTAATAAGAGCTTCTATTTCATTTTTTTGAGGGGGGGGGGGGGGGCGTTTCCAAAACTGGTCTTTACCTTTAAAGTATTTTTTTGAAATAAAAGAGATAACATCAATACGGTAACACCATTAAAACTTATATTGTGAATGTAATTTTAGTAGAGCAATAAAGCTTCAGGGGAGACATAAATCATGAAATCTTAGTACATAAAATATGAATGATGCTAAGATTTTCTTCAGGATTCTTTTTTATCAAGAACTACGTGTGATTTTTAATTGCATACAGAAATGGCTTCATACTGTTCATTCAATCTATAAAATGCTGCATAGTTGCATAAATTTACTGCGAGCCTAGACCTTAAAACTTTAATGAGATGATCCCTGAAGCACATTTTCCAAGCTAAACTGGGAAGGGGATGTGTTTTGTCTGAAGAAAAAAAACATAATAGACTGGATTATGTAATAATTCAAATCCATAACCCTAGCAATGTGGAAATCAGTTTTGTCAGTCTCCAGGCTGCAGGTACAAGTAGACATTGTTGTGTTATAAACTTGCATCTCTGCTATTATGGTGGATAATTACAAACATTTTTAGTACTATAAAATAATACAAAATTAAAAATCCTTTTGTTTACCCAGGGAAGCCTCGTCAGCTTCAATGTTGTTCTTCCTGAGGTCCCACGCAATTATTCATACCCCAGCAATCGCCAGGTACCCATTGACAACTGAGAAATAGCTGAGAAGTTTGGACCAAACTTGTGAGGTTTTTCCCATTTCTGCGTTCAGTGCATGTGCTGTCCAGCAAGAGAGGGTCGATTTCTGTACATCATGATCATTCAAAAACCTATCATTGTAATGAATATTTAGGTAAATTTAACCCTTCAACAATCATTTCTAGACAGTTTCTTTCATAATGTAACCACATGAATAGTACTAACTGTTTAAAAAAAAGTATCTGCATTATAAATGTCCCTCTATGAGGAAATGAATAAGAAAACAAGCAAAACTAACATTGGATATCATAAGACATATGCGTCTTCTATATGAATCTACCCTTAACTCTTAAGCTGCCACCCATACAATGCACCCAGTGCCACAGTGCTAATCCCTATTGTGCCAGCCACAAATCTCCTGTGTGCCAAGTTAATTTTAAGGTTGGTTCAAGCGCGTGTTATTTAAATCTTTACAAAAAACAAATCACTAAATTACTCGAGAAAATCCAATCTGACTGTTGTATACAAAGACGCGTAATCCAAAGCCGATAATCTGATGCACGCGATGGTACTTTCAATAGCGCTGCAAAACCACTCAGCACGGTGCAATGGGCATGAACAATGACTGTTATTACATATGCGCCCTTGCGTGCACAAAGCAGAGTAGCGGTGGCTCGCTAGCATGAACGTGGCATTCAATCGATAGCGCGCTCGCGTGCACAGAGCACTATAACAATAGCGCGCTAGCAGTCTCATGGCAGGATATGAGTTAATTTAGTAGAGGAGGGCGGAGACATAACAAAAATAATTACAGAAGGGATCTAGCTAGCAGACAAGGTCCTAAATAAGACAATGTGCACGAAATGTCATTTTTCGATACATTAAGTGTCATTAGATGCTCAAGCATAATGTCATCCATATTACTTCCTCTAACAGTGATCCCCATCAAATTGAGAATGACATGTTTTGATTTACAACAGCAACATACAGCAGCTTTGAAAAAAAGAATTATTCCATGTTACTTAGGGTGCCTTCAAGCGACACTTTTTTAGCATAGAAACACGTTTTTCAAAGACGTTTAGTTTAAGACATGGTTACGTTCATGCGATTTTTCGTCTGTCGTAAAAATAAACGTGTTTCAAAGCATAAGTATGAAAGCGCTGAAAAAGATGCGTTCTGTAACATGATGCTAAAAATCGCTTGAACGCAACAGAGTTCTCAATCATGATTCCAAGACGTCATTATCCTGGCCTGCTTCCGGTTTGGCTGACAGTCGACTGTGAACACATTCCCGGGTCCTGGGTCAAACTAGGCAGTGTGATGCGTATAGTGGATGAGCTTGAAATAAGCGAGAATCAGCGTTGATGGATAATCGCTTGAACGATCTCCCACAGTAAGCGTGTTTTGTAATGCCGTTTTGATTTGTGATTAATGTTTGTGATTCTAGCTTCAAAAAATCGCTTGAACGCACCCTAATACTTGTATATTTTCCTATCTATGTACGCTCTACGGCACCAAACCAGATTATTATGTAATTACAGAATATCTTTAATAGTTACTATTAAAAAAAAGTAGACCCCCCCCCCATGTCTATTGCAGAGAAAATGATGTTGAATTAACTTTCAAACATAAACTCTTTGCTTTACAAGAAAAGGAATAAAACTTGTTCATGTAAATGAGCTGATAGATAAACAAACAGATAAACGAGCTATTAACATTATTTTGAAAGAAATGCTACTATAACCTTGATACAAATCTCATAAAAGCTCTTACAGAAATCCAAACGGGCATCAACTTTTTCCCAGTAAAAAAGAGGAGGGGGCTGAGTCTAAGGTAGAGCAGTGGCTTTATGAGATCGACTTGAATCAAGGATCTTGAAGCATTTCTTTTGAAAAATAGTAATAGCGATTAAGAAGTCCTGGGTCTAAAACCCAAGTTTGGCGCACTAATGCCCGTTATAAAGACATTTATCCACATTATCTGTTACTTTTAGTCTTTTAGTCTACTGGGATATTAGTCCACAGCTTTATCTCTCTCTCTATTCATCTAGTTATATTTTAGTCTAATAATAACAATAATCAGGATTCAAATAGCTTTCAATACGAAAATACGGTTTCATAGGGCTTTACCTCAGTCATTGCATTCATTCACACACAATTAGCACCATCTTCACTCTCTGGGTAGTATCCTACCATATGGTCACGATGAGGGCATATGGCAATTACAAATACAAAGGATTTTGACATCCTACCAGGTCCCAATTTCTCTCCTGGGTATGGAGTGGTAAATGTAGGTTAATGCCTTGCCAGAGGACATTAGTGCCGTGTCGGGGATCGACCCCACAACCTTTGCATTTCAAGTCAAGTGCTTAAACCACTCAAATACAACAACTCTGCAGTGGCATTAGTCTACGGTAAATATCTCCAGAAAGGTTATGGAGAGTCTATCAAATCAAATTTCAAAGAAAGTTCTTAGATCTCCAGAGATTCATACTAATCAGCTATGATCCAGCAGAATGTATCCCTAAGTGGATTCAGGGGTGATTGAAGCCCCCCCCCCCTTTATGAGAAAGAAAGAGAGGGAGAGAGAGAGAGGGGGGGGTGTGGGGAAGAGGGAGAGATGAAGAAAGGGGGAGGGAGGAGAGGGGGAGAGAGAAAGAGATAAAGAATGAAAGAGAGAAAGAGAGGGGGAGGGAAAGAGAGAGAGACTGAGAGAAGAAAAAAAATGCTATTTCATTTTACACCCCCCACCCCCTCCCTATTAAAATCGTGGATACACCTTTGGTACCACCATCCCAGAACAGTTCTAGATTCCTACCTTTGCTCTAAGTTCCAGTAACTTGACCGGCTTCTCGGATAATGGCAAAACTTTTCCATCTTCATCTAGAAAAAGAAAAGAAAAGAAAAAACATTGAAAAAACAGATTACATCAATTGCACTTGTCAACCCCCTAATTCATTATGCATTCATACACAGAGAAACATTATATCCTGACGGATATATCTTTACTATTTTTATGCCTTCCTGGATGAGGAGGCACAGTTTCAAAGCTTTTAAGTTTCTGTGTGACATTTGATGAATAGATATATGTCGGCCATCTATGATTGATCCTCCAATTTACTCCAACTCGACTCCCACAAATGTATCAAGGGATTTATGTTCAACTAAAATGTAAATCTTGTTTTCTAACAAAGGTTCCATCATGAATACACCCGAACCCTCATTCTAAATTTACTTAATATGTTGTTAGGGAGGCAAGAGACCTTTTTTATTTCATTAAGGAGATACATGTAGATGTAGACGAGATGGCATAAATTTATCAACTGTTTTATATGGTTGGAAAGATTTAAAAGTATGGTAATCTTGAGCTATGGTAATGTCAGAAAATAAATGGAGTACTAAACCAAGGTTACATCTAAATGTAACAAGACAAATGCAACTGCATCTTCTTTATGCCTCAGCCCTTAATTCAGTATAGGAAATGGATGAAATCATACATGACATACCATAGTGAAAACAAAACGCCTATAAATCAATGTCAACTGACCACTATGCTCTTGACCGACTAGCACCAAAATATAAAGTAACACTGTCACCATGTGGTGACTTGTCAGTTTTGTAAGAAATAAGAAATATTTGTGCAATATACAGCACATTGAAATGAAGAATACAATGTATTTATCCCCTAATTCGTCCCTATTTTCGCGAGGTGACGGTAGTGAATGAAGATCGCATACAATTTGCGTGCAGATTTTCCTCACTGCCGTCACTTCGTGAAAATGGGAACGAATTGGTATGAACTATACACTTTTTAACTTTTTGTCTATAAAAAAAAAATACCCACAGATTTATATTTTTAATGTTTTAAGCAATACCATTCTCTAATGTATTCAGATTATATGCAAGTGTTTATGGAGTGCCTGGAGATGAATGATCGCATTCGCCTGCCGAGGACTGCTGTGTTTTGGTTGTCGGGGTGAGGATTGCGTGCATTAGTCGTTGCTGGGCTGGACGAGCATTATAGCTTGCCCGGTCTAGCGGCGTCTGATGTATGCGGTCCGCGCCCTGGCTATTGGAGTGCAGTGTCCCTCGGCGGGCGATTGTGAAAGCTCGTTGGTATTTCCATTCGACTGCATTTGAGTGCATTGCGGAAGTGACCTATTGGTATCTCATATTATTATGTGAATGTTCTTTGGAAATTTGTTTTGTTATTCATGTTCATTTCAGTTTTTAACTGCCAGACACGAAGATGTTAATAAAATCCATTTATCTATCTATCTATCTATCTTGTACAGTGTAACTGTTATATTGGAATATTTTTCTTACTTTTCATTTATGTACACAGTTTGATTATGATAATGTTCTGAGGAACTTTTCAACCCTCAGGCTTCTGCTCTATTTTGGTTCCCTTTTTTCCCCTTATCTATTATGTTACTGAACATGAATTGTATTTGTAACTGTATTTGATGTAAAAAAAAATTTTTGTAATGATTTGGAAAAATAAAACAATTGAATTGAAAAAAATAAATATCGGTGGTTTGATCTCATTTACCTGAGGATGCTTGTGTGTTGCCTAGTTTCCACACCTCCAGGGAATGTGAATACTGCAGGAGTAGCATCCTGGCCTTGGGCGCCAAAGTCACAATGGGCTTCTGCATGGGAAAATCAAAGAGAGCAGAATGAATAGATTAATCCTTGAGGAACGGAGACTTCAAAGGGGTCAATGGTTCATTCATTTGAACATGAACAGAGAGGTTGACAGATTTTTAATGTAGCACATGGTCCAGTGGCCATAAGGCCATTCGTTCCCAATTGTAAAACCCATTGAGAAACGTAAAAATACAAAACAATACAAAGCAGTTCTTTAGGGGGTAGTTAGCAGTAATGTCTGATATATTTTTTAGATAATTACTCCTTTCGGTTGGGGGGGGGGGGGTAAATGCGCTACTGTTACTAGAATAGACGGCATCAAATCACCTTAAAAAAAGGATTTATTATTGTACATGTATTAGGTGCACACGATCTGGAAGCCTCATAGTGTAGTGGTTCTGACTCTCGTATTTCAATTATAAAGTTGTGAGTTCCTTTAGCAAGAAATTCATCTACATTGTGCTGCACTCCACCCAGGTGAAGTAAACAAGGACCTTGTAGGAATTTATTTCTTAAAACGCAGAGCGCGCATGACAGCTGCTCTGCTAAAGCCAAGCAGGGTAATTATGCTGCATTATTGTAGAACGCTTAGAGACTTCCGATAAAGTAAGTATTAGGCGCTAAAAATGCACATAATATTATTATAATTCTGTTTAGGATAGCATTCACCAACTTCTTTTGTTTTGTTTTTCCAATCCACCATTGTGTCAACTCTTCAAGTACGTCCTTTCAACACCTTATATCGCTCACACCAAGTGCGCGAAAGGACGCCAAAGGCGGCCCTTTCGCGAGTTGATATAGAATGAAGAGGGGGTGACGCGTAGTAAAAAAGATGATTGTTTCAGAGCAAGACTTACGTGTGGAAAGCCGCGTATTCTGTGACGCAGTCGGGACATCGCTTTACTCAGTTTGCCACCAGACATCTCTATATGGACTGGATTCACTGCTAGCATGGTATCCACACCTGTTAAGAGCAGAACACAAACATACAATGTATTGTCATATTTCAACAACATTCAAATGATTTTATTTCTCATGCAAACATAATACAAGAATAATTATATCACAAAAAATATGCAATGAAACGACAAATATAATGGAAAAAAAAGCATGAGAAAAGAGGAACTAACTTGAAGCAGAGCTTGTTGAAGTGTTAGTTCCTTAGATGCTGTTTTACAATATAACATGAACAAAGTATGCTTAGAAATCAATAAATAGACAAACATGTAACTAAGAAATTCCAAATTATGGGGGGAAAAATATAACTTAAACAAAAAGAGGAAAAAAAAAAAAATGGAGGAAAAATAGTAGAAGGCAAAAAGAAAGAAAGATACAAAAGAGGGGGAAACGAATGATTGCCGGCAAAAGCTCTAGAAAAGGGAAATTAGATCAGTAGAACGAGGGAGAAAGAGATTGAGAATAATGGGTATGTACATGTATGTGACCGTGACACTACAAAACCAAGACTAGGTCGCAGGTAACAGCATAAATGCTAAGAGACTATAGCATATTTTGTGTTTTACTTTGCCAAAAAGCTCTGAAAAAAAAGAAGTCTTCTGAATTTCGTTATGAAATGATGATGTTCTTTTCTTCTTGATGAAAATTTTTTGGCACAATAAATAAGACCCCTAAAGATTAAAACAAACTTTCTTAGAAATAAGTGCTATGACATTTCTAAAGATATTTTGGTGATATTCTGTGATATTTTGAAATGTCTATGGTTCTCACATCTTCCTCAGATGAGTAAATGGCAATGCGATGTTAGCATTCAAGCTTATCTTGAGCTCTGGTATGGGAATCGTATGTCGAAAGAACATAATTCATTCTGGATTGTTTATCCTGCAGTAGATTGATTGTTTGAACCAGTAAAATAAAAACAAACTCATAAAAACTTGCTGGAAATCATCTTCAATAAAAACCACAACTCTCATTTGCACATAGTGACCCATGTTAAGCACTTGATGTCGAGCCTACTTACCTTGATTTCCTTATCTTTCTATACTCATTTCTCATCGTCTATACATTGTCTACCAAATATGTTTGGCACATGTCATTTAGTTGTCATATAAATGTAAATTATCATTAATAGAAATATCCACATACCTCCCGACACGAGTTTATCTCCAGCTATGACCACGGCCATGACATCGTGGCTGTGATCCCGTATGGACCTTCCCCGGACCCAGTGCTTGGTCTCAGATCCAGAGGCCTTCTGGACCATTTGGAACTCGGAGATGATGGGATCCACACCGGCCGAGAAGACACTGGTCTGGTCTTGGGACACACAGAGATCCAGGACCGATGCTCGGTGACTGGTGTAACTCTGTCAAGGAGGAGAGTGAAGAAGAGTACAAATTATAAAAGTGTGCACTTTTAAATAGTTCTGTTTATAGCTAACATGTGGAATTTACAGGGCAATCTTTTTCCTCTTTACATGCAGTTAGTGGAATCCACTAGCATAATTATATATCAGCTACAAAATTAGAGATAAAAGATTGTAGGTTTGTGATTGGTTAGAGGACTGGTGATCAATTCGGATCAATCGGAACTCTCTATAAATTGGGGCCTTTTCAATATATATTCACCATTGCTCTCTAACCCCTTTTGGTTCCTTGAATCTGTTCTGCTGTAGGTTCACTAATTGGTATAAACTGAGGTGTCCCAACTCATAAGTTCAGTTCAGATTTTAGCTTCTTTTCTATGAAATAAGGGTTAATCTAGCCCGATACCTTGAGCAGTGTTCCATGTTTTCCATTCCAGAACTGGGTCCTCCCGACCGAGTCTCCGCTGACTATGGTCATATCATCCAGGACAGCCACCTGCCAAACTACGACCTCCGTGTGCTTCTGGACCCTCTGCGTGGTGATCCTCAGTGTTGCGTGTCCTGGGTGGGTAGTGAAAGGGTTAAAGGCATCGTTTACCAATGTTAAATCTGAGATGCATGACCCTACGTGTTATCAGTGTCTGTGATATGGTGTAATATTGAAGCCCCTAAAAAAAAAATTGCGCTTCAAAAAAGTTAAAATCTTTGAGTGACCGGTTTTAACATACTCGTTTTCCCCAATGGACTGTAGTGTTATGAAAACGGTTAGGAAAACGCAAAATTTGGTTTCGATTTCCAATCATAAATATTTTGATAATCAGACAGGCAATGGGGGTTATAGGGTTCCTGACTGACCTAAAGGTTTATAATTATCATTGCAGCATGAGCTAAAGATTTTGTTTCAGAATCTGAGACACAGTTACCGGATCGCTTTAAAGTCAGATACAACAGTGACTTGTTAGAAATACCTAGTATGGAACAGGACTTGAATGGCAGATAAGCGATTGATGCTCCAGTGACATTTCCTCTCTGGTCAATATCCAACACTACCCTAAGCCATTACTTCAACCATGGAACAAAGGCTTCATCTAACCCCAACCCTTACCCTAAGCGTAATCTAAAACCCACTTTCAAGCCTAACCCTACATCTTTGATGAAATACAGCCCAGAGCGATTGATTGTCGCCAGAGCACACGGTAAGGGCACCTTGAATAGCATCAGGTTTAGGGCCAGGCTATTCTGGGGGCACCGAGACAGATATAAACGTCAAAACAAATTATGCAATAGCAACATAGCATGGTTTAAAGCTTATCTGCCGTAGTTTACAGGAGGGATTAGACCGCTCTGCAAGGTCACTGGACAGGTGGTTATCTCATCAACTCAGCTCTCAGTTAACATAAGAAAAAGAGGATCATGGGGGACCAATGGTCACCGATTAGGCATTGTTTGTTATATAGAGGGCGCAAGTAGCTACCAATAGTGCAGTGGGCCTTTAAGAAACCTTCACTTAGTTTTGCCATTTAGCCATTAGGTAGAACATCATTATGGCATATTTCTGTGTCGCCTTTGAGGAACTTGATTCCTGGGGGGGGGGGGGGGGTGTTTCACAAAGATCCTAAGTCGAACTTAAGTTGGACTTAAATGTTATGGAGAGCCATTTGTAGCCTTAAAATAAAATATATTCAAAAGCAAAAATTGAAGTATTTTAGACTTTTCATAAATTCCACATCAAGAACATGATATCTCCTTGATAATAGAAAATATGAATGATTTAAATCAACATTTTATGCCTTTTGAAATAACTTTTACAAAATATTTTCAATGATGATAACGGCTTTCCATAATTGATAAGTCCAACTTAGAGATAAGTTCAACTTAAAATCTTTGTGAAACACCCCCAAGGTATAACAAAACCATTCATTCAACATGTAAATATTGATATACAAAGGACTTACAAGGTCCCCCCTGAGCAGACTGTCTATTAACTAACCACAAACCTGCTCATCCAGTGAGGCTGTGATATAATATTTGAAACAGAGTGTGACACAGAACAAGGGGGAGAGAGAGAGAGAGGGGAATTAGTTGCATGCAACATCCAACAAATCACAATTGCATTATGTGATGGAGATGGCTTTTAAATTTAAAAAATAGAAATCGTCCAACAATATTCAAAATTTAACATCATATCCTGTAAAAATGAACTATAGAGTACCGAAGCTGTGACGTCATAAAAATCAATTTTTAGAATTTCTCAATTTTTTCTTCATTTTCCGAAAGAGCGTCAAAAATAATGTCCAAATGTAGAAAACCAATTAAATATGTTAAGTATTGGCCGAGATATGACCATCTGAATAAATATATATCCTATAGGAACTCAGTGTTATTTGCTCTAGTTCGTAATGATTAGGAGCCAGAGCAAATAACACTGAGTTCCAATGTATATCTCAGCCAATACTTAACATATTTAATTGGTTTTCAACATTTGGACATTATTTTTGATGCTCTTTCGGAAAATGAAGAAAATAAATTGAGAAATCCTAAAAATAGATTTTTGATGACGTCACACTTCACCACTCTATTCCTGAATAACTTACTCTAAGTCAATTGATATAATCAAAATTGTAAAAAAAGAATGTAAACAGTAATATTGAAGACTTAATGCATCACATACCTGTGTTCACATTCCAAATCCTGATATTATCCAGTGACCCCGTCACGATGACCTCATCTGACACATGCCATGCTAGTGACACGACCCGACCCTGTTGCATCTGGAGCGACCTATCATAGATGAGGCCCTCGTCTGTCATCTCGTAGAGACGGATGTACCCATCCTCGCAACCTGCCTGAGTTATGGGAAGGAAGCAAAATAGAAATAAACAATAATAAGAAAGATAGATAAAAAAATAGAGCTTTTGAAAGAGGGCTATGATAACCAGGCCCTCTACGTCATTGTTAATTACCTGCGTGTGCTTTTTGTATATTGTGTATTAAGGCTGCGACGGGTAGTCGAATGCTCGAGTACCCGCACGGTTGACAACTACTCGGGTACGATTTCTCGTACCCGAATATTCGGCCGCAAAAAAAAAAAAATTAAAAAAAATAAATAAATAAATAAAAAAAAAATGTCCAGGCCCACGCTTACCCGTGCCAGGGAGAGCGGCGTCCGCTGGCATGGTACCGTCGGTAAAAATGTTTCCCAACTCAAGCACTGTCAAACTCACCTTTCAGAAACTGGGACCAAATGTCCAGATTTCTGTTTGGACTTGGAGGAAAATGGATTATTCTGCCATCTTTGGTTTTTAAAACAGCATTGTTTACTGTTATTATTCTTATTAAATCGGCGCCTTCAACTGCAACTCAAAGTAAAGTTGCATGCGTTTTCAGCGAGGGACCTGAGAAACTGCCGAGTGGTATGGTAGTGGCAAAAAAATCAAAAAAATCAAAAAAATCAAAAAATCAAAAAATTAAAAAAAAAATCAAAAAAATTCAAAAAAATTATAAAAATTTGAGTATTCGCCTGTGAGCCTGGGAGTGTACTCGGGTACCTCATTACACTGTTGAGCACAGCCCTATTGTGTATTCCATCTATCTGTTGTTTGATTTATTTTAACTCTTCTCATGCCACAGGGCTAATCCCCGTTGTGCCAAGCCCTAAATCCCCCTGTGCCAGGTTTCACACAGCACACTACGATGAGCATGAACAATAACTGCCATTACGAGTGCGTGCGAGCATGCATGAAGCACCAAAGCAATGGCTCGCTTGCATGTACAAAGCACTATAATGGTAGCGTGCATGCAGCCTTATGGCAGGCTATGAGTTAATATTCAATTACTTGGAATGGTAATTGTCTTGTAAAATCCAATCAGCAGTCTACAGGACCCAGGAGTAAAGGAATTCCATTTACAATTCTGATAGTTTACTATTCATCAAATAGACCAATCTGACAAATTGAATTGTTGTGAGGACCATACGTCACAAAAATATGTTGTAGGGGAGAACTGGCTCGATCATTTACTAGTTTTTTGCCCATTAAACAAAATTATTAAGAATAAGTCTCAGCACCATTTTCAAAGACCAAGTTATATTTGGGCTTTTTAGATTTTTGTCTATCTAATCAGCTCAACTTTTCAGTGGAGTGGATTTGTATTTTAAATATGTTCTATGTAGACCGTGTATATGTGTATGATCTATTGAAAGTATTGCATACGAATTGGAGATGATACTTACTGCTATATGAGTTTGTGCATTGTTCACTGCAATGCACCAAAAGGCATTACCATAGTAGATTGATTTCTGAAACGAGAAAGAATAGGAAAAAGATCTTAAAGATAAAGGTGAGTTCTGGTAAAAAAAAGAAAAAGAATTCTCACAGAATCAAAAGAAAGTTACACTGAATGTTCAAGATTACAAATAAATGTCGTTTGCCCAAAAAAATTTTGGTAGCAACTGTATATTGGCTGAGTAAAGAGCATAGAAAGATTAGGAAATCAAGGTTGGTAGCCCTGACACCATTTGTGTAGTTCCATATACATCTTTCTGTGTACAGTGTTTGTTACGATTTATTATGATTTTGATGGCTCCAGAACTTTGCAGGACACACAAATACTTATATGCTACATGATCAACTTTTTCAGATCCATTCCACAATGCACTCGGATGACCAGAACTCACCTTTATCTTTGATTTGTTGTATGCTTTTTGTTTAGGTTAAGCTTACAATACATGAGGCTATGAAGAGTAGAACATGGACGATGGAACAATGGTTGATGTCATTCATAATGGGTATTTGTATTGGTCTGAGTAAATTGTGAATGCTCATAATACTATTTTCACACTTGTTTTGCTTAGCCCCGTACTATCCTTAACCCAGGACTAACTTTTTTGGCTTTTCTCAAAGCAATTCCTTAGCCCCGTACTAGCCATGACCATGGAATTCATTAATTCGCTTCACTACGTAGTCCCGGACTATTTTTCGTTTCTGTTCTCATTCATTTGCTTGGCACCGCAATTGCGGAGTTAGCACCACAATTGCGAGGTTAGTCCTGCTATTTTGCAGGGTTAGTTAACCCCGTACTATAGGTGGGGTTAGCCCACTTTGGTAAATACGAGTCTGAACAGAAAGTGGAATAGGCTTAACCCCGGACTATAGGTAGGGCTAAGACCCCCCCCCCCCCCTTTAACCCCACCTATAGTACGGGGTTAAGCAAATTTTTGCCAGTGTGGAAAGAAAGTGGAATAAGCTTAACCCCGTACTATAGGTGGGGCTAAAACCCCCCCCCCCCCCTTTAACCCCACCTATAGTATGGGGTTAAGCCACATTTTGCCAGTGTGAAAAGAAAGTGGAATAAGCTTAACCCCGGACTATAGGTGGGGTTAAGATACCCTTTAACCCCACCTATAGTACGGGGTGAAGCAAAATAAGTACCAGCGTGAAAACAGTATTAGTGTTCTAGACTTAATTAATAAGAAGTAAAAATAAACTTTTAACAAACTGAGGGTATTTAAACATTTGTGATTCGACACAGAATGATTCAGGAATATAGTTTAAAAACAATGAGCAAGTGATACCTTTCAATACCTTTGGCTTTGAATTTGATGTAATATTTACCTTTCCTTCTGACAAGTTAAATAATTTTTCCCCTTTTGAAAATTATTCTTATTCTTATTTTTTTTAATGAGAGCTGGTGTTAAATTCTTTAGAATTTTTAAAGCCAAATTTCTCAGAGCTTCATTCTGTTTGTTTTAACTTGAAAATCATTGTACAGTTCATTGATGCAAATCATATTATTCAAGAGTAAATATTTTGAGTCTTCTAGAGCAGAGTCCCTACAAGGAATTAAAAAAATACCCTGAGCTGACATTCAAATATTGAGAAATCTGAGTGAAGTGAGCATAGTGTGAATAGTAACAGTATTCAAAACCCTACACTTTCAATTATATTTTTAGTAAGATTTTCAAGATATTTCATTTGTGCATTTTCTGATGTTCATTTTTTTCCATGAACTTTCTCAATTTATTTGTAAAATCCTGATTTCAGGAAAAATCTAAAGAATGGAATCTCTGCTAGAAATATATTGCTAACTGTTCATCTAATTATTTTCTCACTGGGAAATATTGTACGGAACAAAATGCATAATTTTTATGATACCTTTGGCTTTAAATGCTGCAGATCATATTCTGTGATGTCTCCCTGTAGACCTGCAGAAAAGAGTCGACCTTTGACCCAGACTAGACTGTTCACCTTCCTCTTCTCGGACCCCGGGATTACCTGAAAAGAAAACAAATTACAGTGTAAAGGTAGTTTTAGTCACTGCCAGATTTTTTTTTTGTGGGGGGGGGGGGGGGGAAGGGAGGGGGACAGAGCCCTGTAATATTCTGCTATTTAAAAATCTGCAAGCAAAAACAATTATAAAATGTGCCCCCTTCAAATTGTCAACATAAAAGGCACTTGAAAGTATTCTTCTAAGCTTAATATTAGAAACACACAGAGGTGAAAAAACAACGTAACACCATGAGGGTGGAATTTATTGTGCAAATGTATAGCGGTAATGTGGCCTACAATTGAGCTTCATCATACACATGCCATGCTGCTCTGTGCCTTGAAGATGCATTCACTTGAACATGAGGGCTGTGCCCCTATTCTACCCAAATTCCATTTTTGTAAGATGTAAGATTTGTTCTCAAGATATTTTTGCTTTAATTAAATGATTGAAAAGAAATCAACCTGGAAAGGTATACATTTCTAGACCTATGTAAGAGCTCTCATAATTATTATAATATCCTGCTACCACCTTGGCTTTACACAAACCTTTTGCTGCAACCATTTCCTGCCCTCTCCTGTCTTCCATATCTCGACAGAGTTGTCCTCCCGGCCAACTGCTAGGACTTTGTCTGTTTGGTTGTATGCCAGGCTCTGGATTCCACTCGGGACATAGTTGCAGAACTTGACATGGTGGACCTGAAACTCACTCATGACTGTCTGTCTAGCTAGATTTGAGTGCTGTGAACCTGTGACGATGGATAAAACAAGTATAATAGACTGTACCACAGTCATATAGTGTTGATGCTTTAATTATTCATAATGAATCAGGAAACCATCTCGATGACAGTCACATCATCTAAGATGTCTTGAAGCTGACAAGCTGTTTCACAAAGACATGACAAGCAACAAGTTCATGAAACTGCTACAATCAGCTAAACTGTAATCTTAGTTTATGGTCGCTAACTTAACATATGCGCGCACCCGCACCCCATCGCAATTGTATTGTGCAGCAGTTTGCCGTGAATCGATCCCGTGAGAAAGTGTATAGAAGTCTTTGTTTTTAGGAAAATACACCAAAAAAGATAAGAAAATTGACACGAAAGAGGTAAAAAAACGACTATTAAACCATGACCATTATTTGAACAATTGATGAAGATTTAGTCAATCATTGGTATATCTTTTCAGTTTTAGTTTTTACTAGCTAGGATCTCCACGCACACGTGCACGCCGGAGTTACGGGTCAAACTCTGGATACGATTCTGAACTAGCGCACATATTTTGTACAATTCACTACAAATTCATTAATAACAAATTAGGTTTTAAGACAATTATCCCCTGCCCCTGGGCAATCACCCCCACCCAATTACCAGTGGGACAATTTCTTTGTGACTAACAAAAATGTCTACGCGTGGGACTGCGATATCTACTCGTGTCAAAATCAACCTTCAAATAACATTCTCTACATCAGCAATCAAACTTTAAAAATCAAGTAGTCCCATATCAAACATTCAAAATACTTACGTGTAATCCAAATTAAATTCAAAGTGCGTAGACTCTCAACGATATTTTATATTTTCGGCGATTACATGCTGCAGGTTGTGCAGCAAAGACGAAGCAGTATACCGGTACGGCATGGGCATGTGGCTTCGGCTAACGCTATGAATGGAGTGTATCGTCGAGCGCGAGCAGTAGGAATTGTACCAGCTATCTAGTCGCGCGCTCCGATCCGAGCCGGGCAGCCCTGGCGTGCCATGCATCCGATCACTGGCCCTCTCCTGCAGCACGGATCGACCAACATATAGCTGCAGTCTATAGATCTAGGGGCCGTTTCTCGAAACCAACTCCATGACAGTCATATCTTTGTCGGCGACCTACGGAGATGTCATGAAGCGGATAAACCGTTTCACAAAGCCATGACAGACATGATATCGATATATCGCGATACTAGCAGCTCAAGAACATAGTCTTTGTCACGATCCATTTGATTTATCAAGAATAACCCACAACAAGTTTTGGGGCTAAAATTGTTCAAAAAGAAATATATACATATAAATTCTCCTAAAATAAATAATAAATAGTGTCATTATCATATTTACATCATCAAACGATTTGCATATTTCTGTAAAAATTCTTAAATTGAAGAAAAACCGGTGAGTGTTTTTTTTCGACAGTCGAATCAAAAGTTAGTTGAAGGATACCGTAATGTGATAGTTTATCAATACATACTTTTTTGTTTATTGTGAAGAGGAATTTTAGGCAAAATGTCTTTTCTCAGCCAGTTTTTAATCCAGAGTCTCATAAATACTCGTTTATATAATTGATTTGATATTGAAAATATAATTTGGAAGAAGTAATTAGAGAGGGAATAATAATGCACATAGGCCCCAAAGGTATGACGGTATCCTAAGAAAAGACTATGGATCGACTATGGAAAACGGTGTGTAACATTCTTACCTCTCTTATTTATATGATATAGATCAGGCCTTCTCAACTGGCGGCGCGCGCGCCACTTGTGGCGCTTGCGGTCAGTCGGAGTGGCGCGCGGCTGTTCCAAAAAATTAATATAAAAAAAAAAAAAATTAAAAGTTAAAAAATAAAGAAAGAACAAATTAAAAAACTATGTTTCAAAAATAGAAAACTTAGCAAAATCAAAAAGTCATGTTTGTTTGATTTTCACTTGATTTTAACATTTTCCGTGTTTATTGCACCAAAATATTTAACTTCAATATGAAATTAAGATTGATATTTTATGAAATAAAAAGGTGTTAAAATGCCACAGTGAGCCTTAAAAAGCCCTAAAATCCACTAACTTCCGGGGGCTTCCAGTATCGGCTCGGTCGCTACGCTCACTCGCCACTCAGTCACAAAACATACAGGTTGGCACTTCAACCTCAATAAATTTTTGTTTTGGCACTTCTAATAAACTAGTTGAGAAGGCCTGATATAGTTTAATGATTTGTGATGTAATGTTTATATTCAGCTTTTTAAAGTTTCTGTATAATTTGTATTCTCATTTTTGTACATTTGCATTTCGCATCCCAGAGGGCCAGTTTCGTAATGTATTCAAAGACCTTTAAATCGCATTACGTAATCGGAGGGTCGGACAAGCAAAGAACTCGCGGTGCGTAGCAGACTACACTTTGCGTGCATACCATACATGACTGTGTTCGCTAGGTGTGATTGTATCGTTTGTTTTCGCTATTTTGAGAGAGAGAGAGAGAAGAAAAAGGAGGCAGTTTCAAACTTGGATAATAAATATCTTTGAGATATGATTTTGTTCTTCATACATTTCATCTTTAAAATCGCTGAGTCTTAGGCAAGAATAATAGAAAAGCATTGCTGGTACAGAACTAGCGATTCACATCTTGCAGCTAAACCTGTTCGGCCAAGTCCCCGGTACAGGCAGCGCACGATACCCCCTCAAAAAGAAGAAAAACGAGGTCGATGATACAAGCGATATTGGCTTGAAAGCCAGTGATGAAACAGAAAGCGAAGCACCAAAACATAAGTTAGCTAGCCGATATCGGTAATTTCCATTCAATTTTGCATTTACCTTAGCTTGAATCTGAGTACAAATTAGGACGTAGAAATGAAAGAAGTGATGAACTATTTCCCACTCGTTCGCACACACAGTCACCTCTGCTTGCAGAAGCGTGCGCGCGTACCACGTGTTCGTGTTCGTGTAGGCGCGATTCACATTTTCAAAATGAAAACAATTTTACGGATTAAAAAATGTTTGTGAAACGCCTCGATACGGACTATTTCAAAGCGGACGAGAAACGGCTAACGAGAAGCAAGCACTGACCGCAGAATCAATATTATTAACAAAGGCAACGAGAAATAATGACAATTAAGGTAATAATATAATATATAAGGTCTTTGTTAATAAAATAATATTTATAAAATAATATCGTCCGATGACAGAGAGCTAGAATAAGAATGATGAATAATGATAAACAAATAATTTTGAACGGAAAAAATGAAGAAAAACAATGAACAACGAAAAAGAATGATAGAGCAATGGAAAAAGGGAATAATAAAAGTAATAAAAAAAAACCTTATGATGGCAAGGAAGAAGAATCAGGATGATGAATAATTTTATTGTTTAGAATAAGATTAGGAATTAAGTTTGATTTTCATAAAATAAAAGTTAATAGTCTAGTATTAATTATGCCGGACCTTCGTTATTCAACTTCAAGAAGCAACTATTATTATTAAAAAAAAACATTTCAAAATAAAACTGTTATTACATTTTCTATTAGATCTAGTCTAGACTTCTACTTTTTATTTGCTTATTATTTATATATTTTTTCTTTTTGTTCAAGTTGGTATGTTCTGTCTTTTTGCGTCGGTTTGACCTGTATAATCTAGTCACAAGTCGCTATCATAAGCTGCCGAGAGCTAACTAGAGGGAGGATTGTACTCGAGCTTCTCCAGGCCACATAATCTATGGCCATCGGGAAATATCAATCGAAAGTCTTCAAAACTCTTAAAAGCCTTCAGTTTTCGACGATCATAAATGCATGGTCCGCCATATTCTCTACTAGATAATTGAATACGTCATAGGTCCCAAAGTCAGGAATATCGTCAAACTTAAGGGAGGTATGTAACTAGTTCACTCAACGAAAATCCTGCCCGTTGTAATTTCCCCATACAGTCACGTCTACCGAGTGACACGGACCCCGTAGGTCAGGGGCTACGGGCAGGCTAGTCCGCTACTGCGGACGCTAATTTAACGAGTCTTTTCTCGGGTGTATACCGTAGTCGAAACTCCTCTTTTTCTTAGAAAATATTGCAGCTGCCTGAAACTCAGCTTGATGAATGGCAAGTTGGAAGACATTTCCGGCCAAAACAGAAATTCATATATATATACACGCAGTTTTGATAGAAAGATATGAATGCAATTTAACGGCAAGAACCGACAGTCTAATACACAATGCACAGATTCAAAACGGCGATTTGACAAAGCTTGTCGGGCTTGGTTACAGTAACCGCGCATTACGTAACCGCCGAAACTGGCCTATTTAGTATTACGTACCGAACTCGTCTATATTTTTCTCAAAATGATAGTGAAACTAATCGTCCATTTCGCGGCCCATGGAATGGCAACAAACTGACTTGTGATGGCGCTTTACAGCAATTAAAAAGATATGACAGGTTCGGAGCAGTGACAACTCGCTTGTCGCGGAAGTTGTCGCTCATCTTGGCAAAGACGGCTTCGTGAAACACTTAGCTGACAAGTTGCGTGACAGTGGCGAGATGTCGTTGATCTTGTAGTTATGACGGTTTCGAGAAACGGCCCCCTAGTCTCTGTTTGTCGACGGTTGTTCCGCTGAGCATCTGCATCTGGCCCCTCTAACCACCTCTACGTAGACTGTTCGCCATTTCGATTATCATTGGACTCGACTAGACTGCAATCTGCATCTGCTCAGCTCACCTCCCTGAGTTAACTGGGTAATTAACTTAAAGTTATAACCTTCATAATCTGATAATTCATTATAGATCTAGACCCTATGTCTAATAACAGTTAAAACTCAGCCCTTTACTAGTTTAAAGGTAAAGACCAGTAATTTTAGGTCTAGACTATACACCTCTAGACTCTATAATCATGAGAATAGATTTCTAGATCTAGCTAGACCTGGCTCTAGATTGGAAACGCCCCAATTTCAAAACATGAAATGGAAGCTCTTATTACCAATCATGTGAAAAAGTATGTTTTGACTAATAATACATGATGATAAACAATTTGCTTGGAAACCGCCTACTAATTGATATAGGCCTATAGATCTATATCTAGATCTATTTGGTAAATTAGTTTATCTATTGCCGTATTGGTGTGTGAGAGATAAACGCACGTGTCGCGCACGTGTGCGTAGTCCATGTACAGTGCTTGTAACTTTACGAAGACTGGGCCAAATTTCTTATCATTTTGAATTTTTGATGATTCCAGAACCTTGCAGTATACACACCAATACAATACTTATAATGCTTAGATGCTAGATGATCAACCTTTTCTGATCGATTTCACAACGTTTCTTTCACAATGCAATCGCAAGAACATAACTGGTCTTTATCTTTAAACTAAGTTTGGTTAGTCTAATATTCTGTAGACTCTACAGAGCTCAGAGTAATAATGAAAGTTATAATTAAAACATGTTTGAAACAAAAACTCGCTCATTGACAAGTGAGTTAATTCAGCTCAGAGACTAGACAAGATGGTTGTAACTTGTATTATTTAATAGCAATAGCATGAGTAGTGTTGTGGTCTAGTAATGGATATTAGTCAATCGACTGCAGATCGCAAGGTAAGGAGGAGTTCGAGCTACCGCCATGGCACTAATGTCCTTTGGCAAGACATTAATGATTAATCTACATTTGCCACTCTCCACCCAGGTGTTAAATAGGTACCCGGAAGGATGCAAAAGTTAATGTGGTTGGATGGTAAAATGGCCACTGGCCGGAATGCTCCCCAGGGAGTGGAGAATGTGCATACATTGTGTGCAGGTAAGCCTGAATCCAATGACGGGGGTAATAATGTGTACTGCGCCTAGAAACAAATTATTATAGGCTCATTAATATGTGAGCTATATGATTATTACTCAGTGCGTCCCAGAAAAAACGAAACCAAGAATTATAGATGTTTTATCATAACTTATTCACAATTATAATTAATGAATAACACATATTTGTAAACAGGGCTCAAATTAATTTTGTGTCCACGGGGGCTCTTTTATTACTGACGGGGGCTCTTTTTTATACAAATATCCATTGAATTGGTACCTATGATACTCCTCAATTATTTGCTATCATCATTATCATTTCAATCAGCATTTTCCCTCTTACAAATTTACAAGCTACATAGCTGTTACTGGCCTGTGTATATAATATATACGCATACAACACTGATCTTTATGATGTCTTTAACGTGACATATCTTCTTCTCCCCTTGCAAACGAAAAAGAAAACATGTTCATTAAAATGGATTAAGCGACAAATAATGATACATGGGATTCAAATCGATGTGAATATTTGTTTGAATAAGCACTGCTATTCACCCGAATCTTCTTTGTAAAAACAACTTTTACAAATCTCAGCCATGCTTACTGAGTTGAGACGTTCCATTCAATTTAAAATACCCATTACATAATACACTTCTCCTAATCTCAAAGTGATCTTACAGCACAGTGGCAGAATTGCATGGCTGAGATTTGTAAAAGTCGTTTTTACAAAGAAGATTCTGGTGAAAAGCATTGCTTATTCAAAAAAATCCTTGCATCATTTTGAATCACAATGATTATTTGTCCCATGATCCTTTTTATTAAATAACCTTGTTTTCTGTTTTGTTTGCAGAGGGAGAAGAAGTTATATCACGTTAAGAAATCATAAAGATCAGTTGTATTATGCGTATATATACACATGATACCAGAACAAGTGTTGATCATCAGAATGTCATTTTGGAATACCTCTATACAAATACCACATTGTCTTTAGCCCGTATCAGTATTAGTATGATCCAATATAAAGCTATTATTCTTTATTTAATTCAGTATAATGCTTTTCCTCAAAAATAGTTTTGCTATTTTTTTAGGGTTGAGACGCTAAGAAATGGTTTCAAATGTACATTACACGAACCCTGAACCTGAACCGCCCCCGTGTATTTTGAGCGCTGTTTGTAAAGCTTAGATCCTCCTCTTTCATTTGATTCATTTAACTGATATGATACATATTTCAAGCATGAGTGATTATTAAAACAATTTGAAGAAAGGGTACCAAACAGTCTTTTTGAGAATTGTATCAGAATTTCAAAGAGAAATCACATTTCTAGAAAGTTCATTTTCTGCCCATTTAATATGTACGCCTCAATCAGGAAATATGAGCCAGAGTCAAGAATAAAAAAGTTCTGTTTGATTAAAGGGCCACTCTTACCCAAATAACAAAGCATGAATACACCTGTACTTATCAATATTCCAGCCTCTGATTTTTCAAAAAATCTCTAAATTGACCAAAAAATGATAATAACCATCCATATTTCACAGATCGTATGCTTGCTGGGCTACGCCCCCTCGAAAAAAGGTAATACGGTCACGTGGCCTTGATGACGCATTTGACGTCATTGCGGGCATGTACGATTTTTCCTACAACTAAGGATCTTACAATCTCATTGTAATTCAAAAATGAAACGTACCGGTACTGGGATTATCTAGTGTATATTATTTTCAGGTAAATGTCTTGTTTTTCTCCAATTAATATCATAGTTTGCCTTTTTAAAGACATTTTAATGCCTAAATCATCCTCATTTCCACGGGAGAGGCTCCTGCAGTGAGGTCATAAACAGTTGCACAGTACAGCTCCAAAATTGGGCTTTTTTTTCCTGAGCGTTCTGAGTCATCATTTTTAAAGCTAGATTCCAAAATTATTGATGATTTCTAAAAAAATCATTGTCATGCTTGCAATCTCCGTCAAAAATTATTCTACATGTCTTTTTTTCATATTTTAGCCCATTTTGATTGAGTGCTTGCATTTCCATAATTTTATTAAAGGAATTAGTTTTCACTCGCTGCCTGCCTTGGCAACAAAGTCCGTGATGTTGACGATCAGCCATGCATGAAGTCTTTCGTCTTCTTTGTATAGAGAAGGTCAAGGGAGCCAGATTTAATCTCAGCGGAACAAACGTCGATAATAGAGACTGAATCTTTCGGTCTACCCCACATGTGCATTTTATGTATAATTGTGAAGAATATTGGTTGTTTATACATGTAGATCTGTCACTCGGGCTCTAGCTGTCGAATAGTCAAAACGTAGCATCGATCCTCTTTTTTTGGTTTTCTTCAGTAAGGTTCTTGAAAGTTCAGAAATAATTTAAAGTGTTAATTACCATCAACATAGTTATTTTCCAGGATATAAACAAGAAGTGTATATAGGTACAGGCCTACTCATATTCATTAGGACTAACCTCTCAATGTCAGTCAGTACAATGCAGGGAAGTTTGCATTTCTATTATTAAAAACATTTATTAGTGAATTTGCATGAATCGATTTATTATCAAGTGCTTTAGGTAGAATGATCAATGAGAGAAATCTGCCCACTCTCTTTGATTTTCACTTGCCTTAAAGTTGTATTGCCCTTTGCTACCGACCCATAAATCTTGAAATCTATTTTTTTTTGTAATGTTTACAGAAAATAAGTTTAATCAGAACAAAAATATGTATTAATTAAAGCACTCAAAACCAAGAAGTATCAGCCCAAAGAGGGAGAAAAATAAGAAGGAAAAAAAGTTTAAAAAAAAAAAGATTTAAAAAAAAAAGATTTCTGACCGACCAACCCATGTTTTGGCACCTAAAGGGCAATATAACATCTTTTTTTTAAAAGGCCTAATGCCAGTGCCAGCATATTATAGAATATTGCAGAATGAAAGTAGTACAAATTGTCATTTGTTTTTTTCTCTTCACAGGTTCAAATTATATGGTTCATCATGGGAAGGATGTGTGCCATGATTGGCTGCCCAAATAGTGTTCACAAGATAGACAAATGGTATACACAACTTTGTGAAAAACATGGATTGAAATTTAGAAGTTGCACGTGCCACCCACCTTTCCAGTTACTTCCTTTTCCTTCAGAAGATAAAGATCCTGATGGGAGAAGCAGATGGATAAGACTTGTTAAAAGAAAAACTGCAAGTGGTTTGAAATGGCAACCTAAATCCCACGACAGGATTTGTTCAGAGCACTTTAAAAATGGCGAGCCAACAAAGGAATGGCCAGACCCCACAGAGAAACTAGGTTATCAGCTCGCACCTTTTCAGTCTTCTTCACAATCTCCTCGCAATCCTCCAAGAGAAAGAACAGCGCACATTCCTAAAAAGAGAGCTCGATTCAGAGGAAAACTTGAAGACACAGAAAGTACAGCAGGAACATTTCCTCATGAGAACAGTGGAGAAGGGCCCTCGCCAACTGATTTTAGCCACTCAATAGAAGATCTGCGGCCAGAAGAACCAAAGCGTTACAAGCCCTACTCACGCTTAGACCTGAATAACTGTTCCAAACATGCTACCTTCTGTCCTCGTTGTAGTGAAAGGCAGTCTGTAATAGATGAGCTTAAAAAGGAGAACAGAGAACTAAAAAAAATAATCAATCTGAGCAAGGGGGATAGTGAAACATTTGCTACATCGATTGTGACCCAAAAAGACAAGTCGGTAAGTGGTAGCTTTACTGGCATTTCCTCCAAGAAGAAATTGTTTGGTATTCATAAGTTTGTGGCCCCAAGAGTACGGAAAATAAGATACTGGACGGGGAAGAAAAAAAAATTCACCACGCTCTAGAACAAAACGAAAAATTAGCCCTCAAAAACCAGGCCAAACAAGAACTCTGACGTCTTGTATCGCTTATTCAGCTTGTTCAAGAGATTGTTAGGTTGGTAATCTCAGCAGAACAACTGTCAATATCAGAGACTGTAGCTTTTGGTCTAGTCTATACCATACCGTATCGTATTTCTTTTTTCAACTACAGGAACTGTGCTACCCCCCGGCATCCTTCACAGTGGAGAGTCGAGCAATATCCACCAAGAGAGAGCTTGATGAGGAGCCCCAAACATCGGAGAGAGAAGGGTACCCCCCTGCATCCTTCATGATGGAGAGTCCAGCAATATCCACCATGAGAGAGATAAATGAGGAAGAGCTTGATGAGGAGCCCCAAACATCGGAGAGAGAAGGGTACCCCCCGGCATCCTGCACGATGGAGAGTCCAGCAATATCCACCGCGAGAGAGATAGAGGAGGAAGAGCTTGACGAGGAGCCCCAAACATCGGAGAGAAAAGGGTACTCCCCGGCCCCCTTCACAATGGAGAGTCCAGCAATATCCACCGCGAGAGAGATAAAGGAGGAAATGCTTGACGAGGAGCCCCAAACATCGGAGAGAGAAGGGTACCAGATCGTTTACATCAAGCAAGAGCTCAATGACGAGGATACCTGGCAAGATGATGGAGCTCAAATGCAGATACATGTACCAGTAAAGACAGAAAGCTCATCTGAGTCGGGTAATACACAACTTTTTTTTAAAGGTAGAGGTCAATTTTAAAGTTTTGTAAAATTGTAGAATTCCCAGAAAGTCGAGTCAAGACTTTCAGAGGTGAAGATGACAATAGAGAGTTCTTCTGGGTTTTGTAATTCCTGTGACAGTAATTTTATTCTCTACAGAGTTTTACTTCTAATGGATATTGAAAAGTGTGATATCCTCTTTAGCTACAAATCTTTCTAGTTAATTTCCTAGTTGTAAGTCAAATCATTGCTAAATGCAAACTTGCAAATTATAATACCAATTATCGCCATCATGCCATTAATCAACTTGAATTAAATCTTACTAAGAAAGAATAAAAAGTAAAACGATTTGTAGACAAGTGCAAACTATTTATAATTTAATCCATTGTGTACTGAACTCTCTCATTCCTATAGACGTAATACAGGAGCCAGCCTGTTCCCGTAGGTTGTGGGTTAATGTTTAAATAGCCAACTTTTTTTTAATTGCCCTTACAAAACTTTTTTTTATGCCTCCGTTACGAAGTAGCCGGAGGCATTATGTTTTCGGGTTGTCCGTCCGTCCGTACGTCCGTACGTACGTACGTACGTACGTCTGTACGTACGTACGTCCCGTTCTCGTGATCGCGTTATCTGAAGAACTGGTTGATGGATTCCTGCCAAACTTTGGTCATGTATGTATCTTGTAGAGCCGATGAACTGATTAGATTTTGGGGTTACGAGGTCAAAGGTCAAAGGTCACAGGGCTCATTATGTATGCAAAACGAGCTCGTGATCGCGTTATCTGAAGAACTGGTTGATGGATTCCTGCCAAACTTTGGTCATGTATGTATCTTGTAGAGCCGATGAACTGATTAGATTTTGGGGTCACGAGGTCAAAGGTCAAAGGTCACAGGGCTCATTATGTATGCAAAACGAGCTCGTGATCGCATTATCTGAAGAACCGATTGATGGATTGCTGCCAAACTTAGGTCATGTATGTTACTTGCAAAGCCAAAAAACTGATTAGATTTTGAGGTCACGAGGTCAAAGGTCAAAGGCCACAGGGCTCATTATGTATGCAAAACGAGCTTGTGATCGCGTTATCTGAAGAACCGATTGATGGATTGCTGCCAAACTTAGGTCATGTATGTTACTTGCAGAGCCGATGAACTGATTAGATGTAGGGGTCACAAGGTCAAAGTTCAAAGATCACAGGGCACATTATGTATGCAAAAACAGCTCTTGATCGCGTTATCTCAAGAACCGATTGATGGATTCCTGCCAACTTAGGTCATGTATGTTTCTTGCAGAGCCAATGAACTGAGTAGATTCTTGGTTCATAAGGTCAAAGGTCATGGGCTCATTATGTATGCAAAAATAGCTTGTAATCACAATATTCTGAAAACCTGTTAATGGATTACAATTGAACTTGAATTTGAAAAATTTCTTCTGTTTTGGTTTGTAAAATTGCTCTATGACGGAGGCATCATTTTCGACTGCGCGCAGTCGAAGTTCCATCTAGTTTAAATTACTTTTTGTCCTCAGATGGAAATCCAACTTTCCAGGAGTGCAATCAGGATTCAGGTTCACAGCTTTCAGGTGAAGATGATGAAGAAAATGGAGAACAGGATGACAGAGGAGGTACCAAATTTTCTTTTTTTGCTGCGGTTAACGAAAAAAATACTTGGCTAGTTTGGGGACACTGATTTTCCGTTTCAAAAAATTGCCTTTTCCGTTTCAGAAAATCTGAAATTCCGTTTCAGATGGGCTGAAAAACGGAAATTCCGTTTTGCCATAGACTTTGTAAACATGAAAAAAATAAAATTCTGTTTACATAAGATTTTCAATAAAACATGAACTTGTAGGGTACAGATGTTCTATTAAAGCCGCCACCTTTGACAAGCCACTGATAACCACTCAAAAACATACGGACGGGACTGGATATACAATAGCGTGTGTACAATCTCGCCGGTCGTAGTGCCCGCTGCTGGCGTATGTGTGCCTAGTATTACCTCTACGTTATACTAGACGCCTAGCTGGCATAAAAGGATCGTTTCGCTGCTATTTGTACCGTGTTTTGTGTCACGATCTCTATCGGTCCAGCGAAACAAAATGGCAGCGCCCGGTCTCCTAAGAATCTGACGAATATCGCTAAATATTCAGAATTATTAACCATGATTTGAGGCCCGATATTTTTTCACTGCATAACGAGTCACAAAAATAGTGTAAGTTTTACGATTTTCTTCTTGAAAAATGAAAAGTTTTGAGGTAAAAGGGGTTTTCCGCGATTTTCCGTTCAAAATTGCATTTTCCGTTTCCGTGATCGCAGAAAATCAGTGTCCCTACTAGTTTGGGGACAAGTGGTAATTTTGATGAGTTACACTACAAAACGATTGGAAAGTTGTCACACAGACATCGTAGTCAGATGACCAATTTTTCAAATTGGGATTCACTCAATATTTAGTGATCTCAACATTCAAACATTCAAAACTTTCCAACCATTTGTCCAATCTTTTAATAAAACTTTCCAGTCATTGGTTTCTCTGATTTTTCTGCTTTCACCTGAATCAAGTTGTTATTAAAGGTAATACAAAGTTTTGGTATTGGGTCATAAATTTTGTTCAAATGAATATATTAGAAGCATATACGGTCCTACAATATTCAGTGATCGTTGTCGCGGTTGAAATCGAGCCTAAAGTTATGAAATTGTGAATAATAAACTCTTTATATTGTAGAGCTCCCTCTTAAGGTCAAGATATTAATTAAGCTATGAAACAATGTTTATTGGCTAAAATCGACCGATTAGCTATTCCCGTTCGGAAATCATATATCACAATTACATATTCTGAGATGTTCATGGTCGCAGCTACCATTGTACGACCGTAGACGCTATTTGTAATTTAACAAAATTTACCAGGAGCACGGGTAAATTCGTATATTTAATTTTTCTCGAAAGCAGAAATGTTTTAGGGGCTGAATTTTCTACTGCTAATAATACATCCACAGGGGCATCCAAATATATCAAAATTCTAAAGAATCACTTTCCACCCAATTTTCAAAATTTCCCAAAACTTTGTATTACCTTTGAGGTTTGAATGAAGAGGGTTGGTCCACAGCTTCATCTGTTAAAGAGAAGCAGTCTAGAACACAAATCATTGTTAGAGAGAAGAAAGTGTAAGTATATGTACATGTATATCATTGCATGAAATTAGCATTGATTTATTGTTGAATATTTACTTATTAAGTTGAACTTAATTGTTATATATTTATTGTTGTATATTTTTAGAATTTAGATTTATTTGTAAATTGAATTTAAGGAATGTCAATTATTTTGTTTTGAAAAAAACGTAAAGATAATTACTTTGGCTGCATTTTACTTTGGAATTAAAGGTTTTCCCCCTTGTTAAAATTCTATGCAGGAAAAAAAATACTGTTTGTGCTTTTGAATTTGTTTAATACACATATTTTTCCCATTCTTTAAAAATAGGTGTCTTGCCAAGAAACTACAGTTTGTTGAAGACAGCTCTCATCGAAGTAGAGTCAAGTATAATAGAATCAAGGGTATTTTCAGGAAGGCCCACCAACTTGCCGAACTAACAAAGAGTGAGGTGTTCTTATTTCTGAGGGACGAGTTATCGAAAACTACGTACTGGGGTACGAGCGATGCTTTGCAGTTGTTCCAACCAACACTGGATACTTCAATCGTAAAAGGGGGTAAACGAGTACGGAGTGTCAGGTTTGTTACTCCATCAAAACCTTCTGAAGATCCTCGGGGTGCAATCCCGAGCAACGTGGAAGCTCCTGATCCCGATCCTGATCTGCACTCAAGTTCTACAAATGAATCAACCTCGCAGATTCCACCGACTACAAGTCAATCTATGCATCAGTTGATTGCCCAGGAGCAGGAATCGATTGTCTCAAGGGGAAGTTTGAGCCAGACCACAACAAGAATGCCACAGGTCAACGCAAAAGAAAAGAAAGTGTAAGTTGCCAGTATCAGTTTTTTAAAGACAAATATCATTTAAAAGAACTAATTGGATTTTTACATGGTAGTGACTTGTAAAAGCAGTTTAAATGTTTCTTCATTTGTTATAGATATAAGATTATAGAATAGCAATCCATGAATGTTTGAAATAGAATGATTGTGTTTACAATTGAAAAAAATTGAATGTCATTATTTTTTCAATGAAAACTCACCATGTTTTAAAAAATTCCATACTAGAGACATGTATTGTTTTGCTTCCCAAAGCTTTTGGAGGACTATCGGGTACATTTAGGGAAAGTTGAAAAGAACATTTGATACACCATACTACTTTTGATTTGTTTTATTAGACTGGCGATTTACAGAGATGTACAAAGATTCTTTTAAGAAATGGAAATTTATATTATAAAGCTTTGTATCTTTAACAATCAATCAAAGATTATTAATGTTATAATAAGGGTGATGTTGCTTTTAATGATACAATTACAATTTCATTGGAAAATCTTGACAAAATCAAATTAAGCTATATTTTCCCATCTTTCGTACCAGGTTTGTAGCCAAGAAGCTGCAGGTCGTGGAAGATAGCAGGCGTCGTTGTAAGGCAAGGTGGAATAGAGTCCAGAGTCTCTTCAGAAAGGCTCACCAACTAGCCGAGCTTACAAGGTGCCAGGCCTTCTTGTATGTGAAAGACGAGTTCTCAAAGACTATATACTGGGGTACAAGTTATGCGTTGCTGTTGTTTCAGTCGAAGATGGACCTGCTTGTCGTTGAAGGAGGTAAACGTGTTCGGAGTGTAAACTTTGTTGCTCCATCTAGTCCTGAACAGTCCCGGGGCGCAGTTCCCTGTGAAGCTTTGGACATTGATAAGCATCTTGAAGGGTGCCTTGGGTCGGGCACTTCAAGGGAAGAATTAGTGCCATCCTCAACATGTGAATCATCGCAAGGATCTACAAAGCGATCAACATCAGAGTTAACTCCGAGCAGGGCTGGACAAAAGTCAACTCCACAAAAGGGTACTCCAAGCAAAACCAAGATACCACAAATCACCATCAAAGAGAAAAAATTGTAAGTTGCAAGCTCAGATCCTTAGCTAATATAAATTTTCAAAGGAAATCTCACTTTGTAATACAGTGTACCAAATGTATTTACAAAAGAGAGGCCATATAATAATGAAGAAAAAAAATGTGCTGTCAAATTTGTTATAAATTCTATTAGAGTTACTGACTCTTCAGTATCGTTGCTGTAATGTCATTTTAAAAACTTTAATATGGCAAAATTAGTAAATTATTTTTCATGTGCTTTGAAGTTGTTTATAATGTTTTTCACAATTCTTTCAACGATAGGTTTGTAGACAAGAAGCTCCAGTTCAGGGAAAAGAGCAGCCTACGTTTTAAGTCCCGATGTAGAAGAATAAAAAGTATCTTCAAGAAGGCCCATGCGCTTGTGGAACTTACGAAATGCCAGGTCTTTGTATATGTGAAGGACAAGTTTTCAAAGACTACATATTGGGGTACAAGTGATGCATTGCAGTTGTTTCAGCCAATGATACACGTAGACTCACTAATCAAGGCGGAACACAAACCGATATGGACCATTAAGTTTGTCGCTCCATTGGAACCTGATGAACATTCCCGAAGGACATCTAGAACCGATGATGAAGATCCAGATCAAGATGAGCTATTTGATGAGTCGGATGGATCAGACGACACATCAAACGACGAATTGCTGATCTCAAGCTCAGCAAATGAATCATTGGCAGGATCCACATCTCAAACAGCATTAGCTACAGGTCAGTCTTCACCGGAATCTACTCCCTGCAGGTCTCCAACCAATCCTTTTCCGCAAAAGTTGGAAGCACCTGCTGAAAACAGAACTGTGAGTGAGGATCAGGCAAGAATATTACCAGGGAACACCAAAGAGAAAACTGTGTAAGTTACTGGGTTAATCATATCTATACAGAACTTGGGGGCTTGTCTCGGTTTTGAAAACATGCTATTTACAGTCCCATGGATAAACTACGATTAAAGATGGGATGTTACAAGGAATATTAGAAACTTCTTAAAAGCAATAATTGGTTTGGTTCTAGGGGTAGTTATACATAATTTGAATTTGTTACCTTGAAACTGTAGGAGACATCACTCCCTTTAATCATATCAAGCTGTATCGTCTTACAGGACCGAATTTATGGTAAAAGGTGAGACCAAGGGGATAATTTTAAAAGACCGGTGTGTTGGTTCAGTCAGTAGAGCGTCCGCCTCACAACCGGGAGGTCATGGGTTCGAACCCCGGCCGATCATACCAAAAGACGTTAAAAGACAGGAGTTGCTGCTACCTTGTTTGGCGTTCAACAATAAGGGATAGAGCAACGTCGATCTGGCGCTGCTCAGTGGATGCCGGACTCACGATTAATTGGGCAAAAAGAATTTTCATTTTCGGTTTAATAAAATTTGGAGTGGACTTTAAAAGATTATTATTATTATTATTTATCACGTTTTGAACCTAAATAAAATAGTTAATAATATGATTGTCATTTTTTTCCTTCATGTACACATTTTGTCCCACGTTGCAACCTTTAATCTGCATCATTTAACCCATTGAATACTCAGCCAAAAATACCTTGGGCTGGAGTATGGAAATGTATTCTTTATTAACATCAAATTCACATGCAATGGGTTGAACAATTTAAAATTATAAAATGTAAGTGATATTTTCCCGATTGTTTCAAACAGGATTGTCGACAAGAGGCTGCAGTTCTTGGAAAGTCAGAGGCTGCGCTGCAAGGCCAAGTCTAATCGAGTGAAGGGTATGTTAAAGAAAGGACACCAGCTTGCAGAGATAACAAATTGCCATGTCTTTATACATGTGAAGGATGAGTTTTCAAAGACAACGTACTGGGGTACAAAGGATGCCTTGCAGTTGTTTCAGCCAACGATAGATTCTGCGATCAAGAAAGGAGGTAAACGTGTTCGGAGCGTCAAGTTTGTCGCTCCATCGAGGGCTTCAGAATCTTCTCAGGGGACATCTCCTACCAATGGTGAAGCTCCAGGTTAGCCTCCAGATCTTGATTAGGTACTTCTACAGTGTCTCTGATCTGTTCCGTCAAACGCTGGACCCTGTGTTGACGTCCAGACATAGATCATCTCCAGGATCTACTTCATGATTTTCTTCAACAAGGAACAAGTCAACGATGAAGTCCGCTGTTGTTCCAGATGCGACTCCAGATCTTGATTAGTTACTTCTACAGTGTCTCTGATCTGTTCCGTCAAACGCTGGACCCTGTGTTGACGTCCAGACATAGATCGTCTCCAGGATCTACTGCCTGATTGACTTCAGCAAGGAACAAGTCAACGATGAAGTCCGCTGTTGTTCCAGATGAAACTCCGGACCGTGATAAGGTACCTTTACGGTGTCTTTAATCTGTTCCGTCAAACGCAGGACCCTGTGTTGACGTCCAGACATAGATCGTCTCCAGGATCTACTTCATGATTGACTTCAGCAAGGAACAAGTCAACGCTGAAGTCCGCTGTTGTTCCAGATGAGACTCCGAACCGTGATAAGGTACCTTGAGGGTATCCTTGATATGTCATATCAAGATCCATCATACCAAGACTTCATGTAGTCTTCCACACATGGACCATCTACTCCATTAATAGAGCGCTTTCGCAAACACAGTGGAAGCATAGACGACGAGAGAATCACGGGATACAGCTCTTCCGTCGTGTTTGGGGAACGAACGATATAATGGCCCCGTACGGTCGTGAAAATCAAGAGGACGGAGAAAATTCTGGTTCGTGCAATGTTTTTTCGTTCAAGTTACTGTCATCTTTGCCTTCCGTCGTGTTTGTGAAAGCGCGCTAATAACTGAAATAGAGCACACAAGCTGATGGGTACCGGTGCTTTAGAAGACACTCGTTATTTGGATGGACTTCAGTTGATTGACTTCTACATTGAGCAAGTCAACACCGAAGTCCGCTTGAGTGACACCACACATTCCTGCACTCAGGTCTACATCAAAACTCCAATTACCTAGAGTTAACACCCTTCTGGCTCTCAACAGACAATGTGACTAGTTTGTTGGAACTTTTTTTCTTCAGGAGAATGCATCCTACATGTATATTTGAGTACAGAATGCAATAAATTTCAACTCAATTTGCCAATATTTTTTTCACATTTTGCCATGAGACTTGTCAGCGGTACCAAATTGAGTTTGAGTTGAGTTTACTTTAGTTATACACGGTAAAAGCCCGAAACAGTTCGCAGACTGGTTTCAATCAGGGTCGTGTCGATAAAAAACAACATAATCATGACATATAAACAAAAGTAATATAACACTGACAGATTCACAACCATAACACGACAATAATAGGAAATAAGCTAAAAACACTTTACTTAATTAGAACTATATCGGTAGACCCAAAAGATAAACAATCAAATAAGTTACATATATGATCATCATAATCTGTTTGCATATTTATATATATATATATATATATATATATATAAAGTAAAAACAAAAAGAAGTTTAACAAGATTATACATAAGTTAAAAACATATTATGTATTCATGTTAAATATTAAATAATCAAAGTTTAAAACAATAAACAAAAGAAAACACACATAATGTAGAATGTGTAATAATTGTGAAATTAAGACAAATGCGTATTCCATATTAAGTTCATTCATTGCCTATTTCATTCATTGCCTATTCATTGCCTATTTTATATTTTCTCTTGTTTTGTTTTTCCATTTATAATTGTAGATTATAATAATAATAATAATAATAATAGTGGCTACTTGTATAGCGCACAGGTCCACCTTTCAGTGCTCATGGCGCTTAGAGAAAAGGACATGTAACAGACTTAAGAAAGAAAAAACAATAAACCGAAAAACAAAATTCGAAATTCTCCTAGACATGGTAAATTAGAATATGACAATATTTACAACGAAAGAAACAAATAAGTTTTCAGTTGTAATTTGAATGTTTCTGTTGACGACAGTTGGCGTATTTGTAGAGGGAGCTTATTCCAGAGTTTTGGACCCATTGCAGAGAAAGCCTGATCGCCCCAAGTAAGATTTATTCTGGGTGTATTAAGTAATAGCGTGTCTGATGAGGAGCGAAGACTTTGTGTGGGGTTGTATTTTGAAACAGAGTTGCTCAGGTATGTAGGGGAAGAAAGAGAGTTAACTGAATGATGAACTAGTAACATAATTCTGAAAATAATCCTTTTGTCAACTGGCAACCAATGGAGAGAACAGAGAATTGGTGATATTGAATCAGATTTCTTAGTGAATGTTAATAGGCGGGCTGCAGAATTTTGAAGTCGTTGAAGTTTTGTGACATCTTTTTTTGGAAGGTTACAGAACAAAGAATTTGCAGAGCTTGCAACCTTGATCAATGAAATTGTTCTTTGGATGGAAAAATACATGAACAGTCAAACCTGTCTTAGTGGACACTTCTCTATTAAGGCCACCTGTCTATAGCAGCCATGTATTTTGTCCTCAAGAGAAAAGTGTGTATTGTAGAACCTGCCTAGAAAGGCTAATTGTCTACAGTGGCCACTTTTTGTCTTCGTTTTAGTGACCTAAATAGACAAAGAGTTGCGATTGAATCAAATCAATCGCAAGTCCTGTATTATCAATCCCAAGTTTGCAACTTCTCTTATCTCTTTAATATGTACATATAGTTGTGACTGATATCAACTCTTTGTAAGACGGGTTCCTGATCTATACATGTTAAAGATAAAGGTGAGTTCTGGTAATGCGATTGCATTGTGAAAGAAAAGGTGTGGAATGGATCAGAAAAAGTTGATCATATAGCATGCAAGTATTGGCGTGTACTGCAAGGTTCTGGAGTCATCAAAATCATCATAAATTTGGCCCAGTCTTGGTAAAGTAACAATCACTGTACACAGAAAGATGTATATGGGACAACACAAATGGTGTCGGGGCTAGTACTACCTTGATTTCCTTATCTTTATATGCTCATTACTCAGCCAGTATACATTTTCTTTCAAAATTGTTTGGCACATGACATTTATTTGTAATCTTGAACATTCAGTGTAAGTTTTGTTAGATTCTGTGAGAATTCATTTTCTTTTTTTTTACCAGAACTCAAGTTTATCTTTAAAGACTCGTTCAGATCTGATTATAATTTTCTTTTTTAAAGTATATAAATGGCAACTACAGGTGTATGTGCAACACAGTTCATATTATAAGATATAGAAATATAAAGTACATTACACTTTACATCTTTATCAAAAAAAGGGGAAAATGCTGCAGTTTACCGCATTATATCAGAACGAGGCTTAACAGGGCCTCCATGTAACAAGCTAATTTTCTAGTTCCCAAGGAGTTTTCATAACAAGGTTCCACTATAGTTCGTGTATCTATACCCAATGTGCAATATTTATGGCATTGCTAGGCCAAAGCGGGTGTGAAAGTAGATTATGATGCATACCACTCATGTACTTAACTATCTTTAATAAAGTGTGATAACATATTAATTTCATGTCATTGTCTTGTCTATTGCCAACTGAATCAAAATGCCTTAATACAGGACTACGTAAGTTTTCATAGCATTCATGCTGAGGGAAAAACAGACCTGCCAACCAGTACGATTTAGTGGTAATTTGTACGATTCTTAGAAGCAAATACGACAGTACGATTTTCCTCAATAAAATAAGATTTTTGACAACAAACAAAAAAACAAAAAATTTTTTTTTTTTTTTTAATTTTTTTTAATATATATTTTGTTTTATAATAATTTTGTTGTTGTTGCTGTTTGTTTGTGTGCGTCCGCCATTTTCAATGGCAAATTGCCCATTCTGTTCTGTAAAGTATCCTACAAGCATCTTACATCAGCAATTTGGGGATGTTCATTGGTTCACCGAACTCAACAGTCGCGACGAAATCATGCATATTCAACCAATGATCCATTAAAAAAAATTCTTCCTGTATGTAGGAACTGTAAGAGGCATTGATCCGCGTATCAGTCCGTGTTTATTTTTAAGAATACAACTTTGTCTGTAAAATACAACTTTTGGGAATAAAGAATACAGTTTTTGAACTCCAGAGGTTGGCAGGTCTGGAAAAATGAGATAAAGCATTTTACCATGGCAAAATATATTCTGATACTCTTCCGTTTTCTAATAAAGTGCTATGGTAGAGTAGAAGGTCAAAAATTAAACAATTTACATACATATATCTGATCGGGTTGGTAAATACAATGTGATGTTCACAATGTTTGATTTCAGGTAGAATGAATGCTACAGTATTATGATACACAAAGTTACTAAATGTATTTATGCTAGATTATTGTACAAATAAAATGTATGTTTATGTACTCATGTATGTTGATTTCATTTTTCAACCATCAAGTTTTCATTTTATGTACATGTACCGGGGTAATAATATATCTGTAAAGCGCTTAGGCACATCGTCGGATCGATGTATTGAACGCTATATAAACACAGAATATTGTTATTATTATTATTATTACACAGCGCACTACTTGGGTATTCAGTCAGGAGGTGCGATGGCTCAGTGGTGGAGCAGTGGTCTCATAACCGAGAGATTCCAGGTTTGAAACCTAGTCAATGCGCTTGTGTCGTTTGGTAATGTACTAATCCTCATTATCAAGTCCCTCGGAGAGAACTTAAAGCCGTCTATCCCCTGCAAGCATATACATGCTTTATTAGCAGTCAGGTAAAACAATCATCAGTCATCTTATTGTTTTAAAACAATCTGTTATCAAGTTTCATTTCTATTTATACACATTTCCCTTGTTTTATTGAAAACTGGATAATCTGTATGCACAATATTAAAACAAAATACATATTTTCATATTAAAGAGGTCTCTGTTTGACTTTTATTGCATTGGTTTGCATTATTACTGTTCAGTGGAGGAATCCTTGGTTTTATAAATTCAAAGCGGCGTGCATGATGTTCCAGTGTTGTGTGTGACTTCAAGATAAAATGTCACTATGAATATGACGGACAAAGAAAGAGGACAAAATATACAGTTCCTCATTCTACCCCCAACAATTGCTGTGGTAGACAAAGAAACATCTCTTCACTGCTATATAACATGTGTAGAACGGGTGTCACATGCTTATTTACCTGTTCTACAAATTTTTGCATAATAGCAGTGAAGGGATGTTCCTTTGTCTACCACGGCAATTGTTGAATGAGGAACTGTATATTTTGTCCTCTTTCTTTGTCCGTCATGTTCATATGTGTGTAGAAAGGCCACTTCAACTTTGCTATTAAGTCGTGTCTCTCAGCGCTTCATGCGTGAATACCTAGCAAACTGATATAAATAACAATACCAATAGATAATAATAATAATAATATAGAGTATTTGTAATGTGCCAATCCACATGACTAATGTGTTCGAGGCGCATGGAGAAGAAAAACTATAAGTTCACAAAAATACACACAAAATTTGAACAACAATGTGAAAGTAAATCTAAAACTACTGGAAAGCCGCTTTGAACAAATGAGTTTTGAGGGCATGTTTAAAGCAATCTACACTTGAAATATAACGAATATGTTGTGGCATTTGATTCCATAAGTGAGGTCCAGCGTGTGCAAATGACCAATCCCCCCATGATTTCTTAGTTTTCGGAACAACAAGCAATTGAGAAACGGATGATCTTAAGCGTCTGGGAGGATTATAGGGCATCAACAAATTAATATTGTACTCTGGGGCAGATCCATGTATACACTTTTGGTCTGACTCATATTAGGAGTACACTGTTCAATGAACTTTGTCACATATGCTCCTTGCTCTTCAGTAGATTAAAAAATATATAATGTATGGCATGTTAACATCTGAAAGATATGGTTATGTTACTTATAATGACTATAGTGCTCTATCCAAAAGGTTAAGTGTCGGACAACCAAACGTAGGTGTAGGCATCCGAAAAAAGTTGTAAACCATAACATGTAAATATAATGCATATAATATTTAACAATGTATGCATGTGTATAATACCCAAGTCCAGATTCTAGGGTTTATATACCTTGCATTTATTGCATTTATTTATTTATTTATTTTTTTAAATTTTTAAATTTTTTATTTATTTATTTATTTATTTATTTTTTATTTTTTTTTATTATTATTATTATTATTATTATTATTATTATTATTTTTTTTTTTTTGGGGGGGGGGTCAATTCGTGAGAAAATATTTAGCAGCGATTCATCCAGCCGGTGAATACGCAGGGGGGGGGGGGGGGGCGGGAGAGTGATGGAAAGATGAACCACTAATTTTGTTTTGGTGTGGGCGAAAATATTATTTTTTTGGGGGGGGGGGAAGGGGGCCGCTTTAGTTTTTTGTTTTAAAAAAGGTTAAATTTATGTTGTTCTCCTATTTCTTTAAACAGTTTTGGGGGCTAACGGGGGGGGGGGCCCAGGCCGGAAAAATCGCGACGTGGATCCGCGCCTGAATAACTGCATCTAAATATTGGAATAGACTACCTTTAATTATTCAGTTAATCACCATCTGTCTCTTCATTGTAATCCAGATTTTTAGGATTCTGTATTCGTTTTCATTTTTTGTAGAATTCTTCTTGTTGTAAGCGCTTTGGGCCGCTCTGGGAAAAGCTCAGTATATAAATAATAATAATAATAATAATAATAGTAATACCATGGCTCGATCTATTCAAGCTTTATGCAACAGGCCCCAGATCCAAGCATTGATAGGGCTGTCAACAATATACAGTCATGAGACAAGATTGACTTTTGACCTATAGTTGGACTGGAGAAACAATCTTGGACTTGCCCTCTCACAATTTTTTTTAAAGGATGCATATATATTTTTAATTATTTTGTTTAACTTTGATTAGACAACTCAATGATTAATAAATCTTGTCATATCTTGTCATTCGAATGTTGTGATTTTCCTTTTACTGTGTTGATAAGCACTTTATACCAATGGCTATTCAGCAGTGAATGTGTGTTATATAACCTTCTGCAGGGAACAAATCTCCTTGCGTTCCAAACTACTCAAGATTTAATTTTCTCAATTCATTATGATTGGTTTGGCAAAATCTCAAGATAACAAGAGGAGGAAGCGTATATATATATATGTATATATATATATATATATATATATATATATATATATATATATATATATAAGGGAAAGACGACATTTGAGAAAGGAAGGGGAATTAAGAGAAAGGAAGGGAGATGAGAGAGACAGAGAGACAGAGAGAGGAGAAAGAGACGGTGTGAGAGAGACAGGGAGGGGATGGGGGGGGGGGGGGGGTAAGAGAGGAAGAGAGAAGGGGGTATGGAGGGCACTGAAACATGATTCATCCCATCTGCACCAAGCCTATCCCATTCGGCACAACAGAATAAACGTCTTATCTAAACGCTATTGGGTCAGAAAAGTAAGATATTCATTTTATAATATTCACGTAGAATTATATTTATCTCGTATAACTTGAGCAGCGTCGTTTTCAAACAGTGTAAAAATACAAACAACCGTTCTTTCTGACAGGCACATTTATTTGAAAATTAATGACAAAACACTCACTTGTTGAATTGCTTCACGGCTCTTGCCATGTCATTTTTTTAATTCTTCAGATGACAAAATATTCACTCTAAAATCCATGGGTGTCGATCCTTACGTAATACCTATTCATCAGGGGGGGGGGGGGGTGAATGAATAGATCATCCCCCCTGATGAATAGGTATCAATTACAGATCGACAACCATGCTAAAATCCATATCTTATGTATCGCAAATTTTCCCACTCAACACTCCTTTCCCTTTTTTGTCTGTGTCCGTCTGCTTGTCTGTCTGTCTGTCAGACCCCTCTCTCCGTCCCCTCTCTCTCCCTCTTTCTCTTTTTGTTTTATGAAACGTTTATTTCTCCAAATAGAAGTAGTACAAATCAAAACAAAGTCGATACAAGTTACATCATTCAGAACTTAAATCGGTTAGAAGTCAAAACTAAATTTGTACATTTTCCTTTTCATACAAAATAGTGTACAAAAGAAGATTATTCAAAATATACATACTTTTGTTATTTTTTCGTAAATTAAGCAGTGGTGTGTACATAAGAGAAAACGTGTAAAAACACGCCAATTTTACCTTTTTTTGGAGATGGGGCCCCTCCCCTGGCGCTCAAGGGGGGAGGGGTGCGATTTTTTCAAATTTGGGCATTCAATTACGCAGGAGTTTATTGAGTGCTAAGTGAGTTCTCAGAATGCCGCCCCTGGTATATTTTTCAATTCTTGAAAGAACACGTTTGGGGTTCAGAATGAATTACACCAAACAAAGAACGTAACAAATAAAAATAATATATACATGTTTACATAGGGCCTACATGGCTACTTACACACCACCTATAATAAGTTCGCATTGAGATATTTAGCCCCCATAGTTCATTAACAAATAAGTAGTTGTATTCTAAGTTTTAAGCTGCAGCGAATGTTACACAGGATACCATGTTTCAGACTAACATATAAATAGAAAATGCAAGCATCTGGAAATAAAGACCGCATTCACACGAAATGTATTTACATTGCGTTAAGAGATTTATCAAACATCGAGTGAATTATGTGGGAAAAAACACTGAAAACACACCCACCAAAAAAATAAATAATAGAGTATGACTTTGTATGTTGAACGTGTTATTAAATGCGGGTCGTCCATGCAAATAATAACATAAATCTCTATGAAAAAGAAGCCAAACTTGCATAACTATAAATCGTTAACAACATTGTGACGAACGATAAATATGGATGATAACGTGTTTCTGCTGACAACTGAATTGAAGGAGAAGGTGTGTGACAGGGGTGTATTATATTCGTTTTCACGTCTCGCCTCGCCCCTCCCCTTTTCTCTCTCTCTCGCTCTCTCTCTTTTTCTCTCTTTCTGGTTTTACACCTAATCCAAGTACTTGTCTACAAATCCTCCTGCTTCTGCCTGGTTGAGGACCGCATTTAAATCCTCTCTAGTCCGAGTCGATGCAGCTTTCCATGTTTGAAGGAGGTGTATGTACTGCTCACTTATCCCTCTAAACTTCTCTCTGATACCTTCAGCAATGCTGTAATCGATGCGAAGAGCAACGTGAAGAGGGCTCCACAGATCAGGTGGTAATAGCCTTGCTAGTTTCAGGATATTCGCATCTGTCACTTTCTGTTCATCTGATGGACTGAAATTTAAGACGTAACAATTGTGCTGTGCTTTACTGTACTATTGAAATAATTCAATAAATACATTAGGAAGTGGACTTACACGAGAATAAAGTTGACGCGGCGCCGGCCGAAAAGCCACAACTTTTGGTTAGGTGTCTTCAAGTGTCCTTCTCCGAATGATTTCTTTTTAGAGATTTCAGGCTTTCAGATACTCAAGAAGACATTTAAAGCACAGGCCGAATAATGAAAGAAATAATACTAAAAGTAACAAGGAGTGGAGAATTCGTTTAAACCTCTCCCTCACAATTTAGTTATTATTCTCTTGGACTCCGTAATCGAAATGTATGTAGGCCTGTTATTGAGACATACATAGGACTGCAGTCGTATCCGGACGGTTGCCCCTTAGACAACAACCCCTGGACATCTTCTCCTTGGACAGTTACCTCGGAACTACATGTTTAATATATGAAAATACTAATACTGTAATACCTCAGCATTTTGACATTTAGCATTTTAGCCCTTACATTTTTACACCGACCCCCCCCCCCCCCAGAATTGTAAATTGAAAAAAATTGTTCATGCACATGTCGACTCATTTTCAGGCAGCGAGATATTCTTTTCGTACTTCTTTGTTCTCTTGTCAAGGTTAAATATACATGCATTTGATGATGAGATATAATTTCCACTAAAATGAATATAAACAAATACTCAGACGCCTTGCTCGCTCGCCAGTTTAGAAACCAGGTAGTTGATATTCAGGCAGATCACATCAGCCCCGTACATTCATGGGTGTATGTTTTACCCGCGACGTAGAACTAAGATAGAAGGAAAACCTGAGTTTTGTGACGGTTGTTTAATACCGCATCTATTTTTAATACAGATTTTTTGTTTCCCCGGAACTTCGAATGCTTCATTTCAGCTGAAGGTTTTTCCTCCTCCTCTCCATCTCTATCTCTTTTTCTTTCTCGAAGGTCTTAAAAAAAACAGTTGGAAAAACGGTTTTTGAAATCACGAATTCCAATCATTAATATCTTGATAATTAGACAGGCGATCGGCTTGTAAAAGTCATGGGATTCCTGACTGACCTAAAGGTTTATAATTATGATTGCAGCATGAGCTAAATCAAGGATTTTGTTTAGAACCTGAGAGAAAGATACCCAATCCCTTTAATATCGTTTAATGTTCACTTGACGACGTTAAATGAATTTTAGAAGAGAATATTGTGTATTCCATTTCTGCTAATTGTTAACATTTTATTTCATCAATCCGTAATAATGCATTAAACCATCGTCTTTCCTTAACTTATTCATTATAAATTGAATGAGACAGACTGATGGAACACGATTGCTACTCCGAGTTCCAGGCAATGCAAGCGAGCATCAGGGAATGATAGCATTCTTAAAAGTACATGATTAAAGAATTTCCCATTATTGGGTGAAGGGGCTATTATGATATTTATATTAAGAATGCGCATATTTTGATGCATAGCATTAATATTTTTCAAAGTCAAATACAATCATTACTTCATAAAGCTTTAAAGGTCGAAACAATTTTATTGTGTAGGAGCATCATTCTTTCTTGAATTTGTGTGTATTTTCTATGACTCCGTGCAAAAATTTAGACTTCTTTCTATATCGATACACACCCACCACCCACCCACACACACACACACACACACACACACACACACAAATACACACACACACACACACGCACACACGCACACGCAAACATGTATATTATGGTTCTACTCACATTTCGTCGCTGGATGGTGAAGGAGCGTTCTGTACTGTAGTCTCTTTGCCGATCCCTGTCATGAACACACATTTTACCGGTTACCAATTGTATAAGCACTCTTTAACAAAAACAAATATTGTCTACTGGATACAGCCTCCCCATATTTCCTACACGTGCCTGTTCCTGAGCTTCCTACGTCTCCGTTTCAAGCTTTTAATATATTAAAAAAGTTTATCTACATGATTTCACACATGACGTAAAAGGGAATTGACATCGATCAAAACGCCAGTTGGTCCAATACCCAGATCAGATTTTCTCCATTATACACGTGGTCCGGTCTGCGTCTCGTACCATTATTATTTATTCTAATAGCAGGTAGGGCAAATCTATGACCATGTGGTTCTAATTGCTACTTCCCCAAATCAATAATTTGTACGACTCGATCCAATAATCATTTGGTCCATCATTATTTGGTCTATTTCCCATTTTTTCTGTAATAAAATGGTCTGAATCCCAATTACTCCAAGAACCATTTCGTATAGAGTTTAGTTCATCTACATGTAATCTATCTTAATGTCGTCTATATATTCATTTCGTCTTCACCATAATTATGGTCGAATGAAATATAATACGAATTAGTGGTGGCCCTTACTATGGTTAGAGTTAAACCTTAGTCATGATAATATTTTTGTTCAAAGTAAATGAATACAGGCCTACATATACGTCATTATATCCAGTTTGGATCGTAAAGTCGCTTATAACCTACTTATTTCTTTGTTGCGTTTATATATGCACCACATTTCGAGTTGTGCCGTGCACATTACCAACAAGATGTCATTTTGCAGCAATAGGTCGTGTGCGATAAGCTATGAAATATCAATACTCAATCGGGGATTAGAACAACTTTACATCTGCATGCAATGTTTTACCTTGGAAACGTGGTTTGAATTTGATCGTCTGTGTAGAGGTTTGAACCACTTCAAGTGTCACTAATGTCTCATCACTCTCCTCGGTCAGATCGAGCTCAAAGTACTTTGTTACTTTCGTTTGTGTCTTCATGTCGCTGAACTGAATAGCCTGTGGAAATTGCCCGATTATATATGATTAATTCGCATTCATGGTTGTATGAGATATGCGCCAACACGCAGATGTAGAGATGAAAATAATGAAGAAAAACTGTCTGTATTTGCGAACTTTGTCTTATCAACTCCATCGTTTCGCATCTAATTTCATCAAAGTAAATTTAATTTCTTCACCCGGCTACAGACGTACAATTGCATAAAACAATTTCGATTTATTTTTGTTATTTTTTTTTTGTTTTTTGCAGTGAATTTCGTCAAAGCGTCATTCAAACTCGTCACTCGTTAGCTTGCTTAATTGTATACATGTACATGTACGTGTTACGTTACGTTTTTTTTTACTCTCTACATGAAAACTGCTTTGTGTATGTGTACAAAAAAGGATATTATATATGTATATATATATATATATATATATATATATATTCCTAGTAGCGTAAATGTATGTCTATGAATATTTATTATCATTATCATCACCATCAAATGAATCAATTGAGTTCTTTGGCACTTTGTTTACCTTTTCTCCTGTTGGCTCGACATTGATTGTTCAACTTTTAATCATGAATTGTTCTTGTTGCACATAGTCCTTGTTTGAATTCATTGTAACTAATATAGCAATTACAAGAACCAAAGTACACTTACATGTACATCTGATTTGTAAGCGACTGTTAAAGTTCCCTTCCGAATCACAATATCATCGTCATCGCCCTTCACAGGTTGGAAACTGGGGTTATTTAATTCGTGGACATGGTACTGAAAAATAATGTGTACAAAAAGTATTCTGATAAAGTTATCTGGAAATTGTCATGTTAAGGCCCGGTCACACATAGGGGACGCATGGGGACGCACGGCCCGCGCATTGAAAATTTGCAATTTTTGCCAGTGCGTTTTCGTGCGTTAGGTGTGCGTTATCCTTCGTTACTCGTTCGTCGAGTACGCTGGAACAACGCTGGACCAACGCTATGCATTCGTCGTCATTCGCTGTGTGCGTCAGGATTTTGTGTGCATGCTCAAAAGTGTGCGCGGAGCTCGACGCTTGAATGTAAACGTCAAAAGGACGCCAGACCCGCACAGAGCGCGCTAGACCAACGCCAGACATACGTGGAGCACACGCGCTGTATACGCTACACATTCGGTGTCAGCTCGCTAGCTTCTCCCAAATCCTGACAAAAGTCGGGCGCGCGACCTTTTTGGATTTTCAATGCGCGGGCCTTGCGTCGTCTATGTACTCTTGTATTATACACCTACTCTCGGATGTATGTGTATTTTAACTAAAGTACGCGCTAGAAACATCCTAAGGCTGCCTGTATGTGTCAACCAATTTAGATCAGTGAAAATGACCTTTATTTGTGGAAATCGGAAAACTAAGATGCCGTCCAAAATGGCATCGATTGAGAGAAACAGCCAAAACAGGATAGGACTACGGCCTTCAATTTACAGTAGAGATGTAACAGATAAGTCTAAAGTACATTTTGGCATCAGGGTATTCCAGATGTTGACCATACTCGATGGATATTTACGACCAAGACTTAAAGAGCACAGCAACAAAAAGAAAAAAAAGAACTAATATCGTTATTTGAAGATCCAAAAGATGCCGAAGTAGGTTAAAGTTTTGTTTTAACATTCAAATACTAATAGTTAAAGTGATAAGTTTGCTTCATTTTTTAAATTTGACAAGTCTCGAAAACTGTTAATTTGCGACCGAACTTTTTAATGGGCGGGTTGTACCACATGTGTTACTGTCTATTTACCCATTTTTGGCCATGTGGCTTCTTGACGAATCGAACCTCCAGTATTGGCTTTCTGTCGAGAGGCATTAGTCTGGGAAGAAACGACATGCATGACAGTAATATGTCATTACAAAATAGCCAGTCCAGAATTAAGGCAATGTATCCTCCAGAAAAATGGCTGACTGAGACCTCTAACCAGCGTTCCTGTACTGAACAAATAAAGTTGGAGGAATCTGGAAGCCGTTTAGGTGTACCTTTAAAATAAAACAAAACAAATTCAATTAAATAACAAACGACAGGAAACGACTGAAATATAAGGAATTTTCTTAGCTCATTAGGCTTATCATAATTATGCATCGTATTTTTGCGACTGGAATACGATTCAAAAGGGAAAATTACAAACAAAAAAGACTTACTTTATTATATATTCGTTTATATTACAAAATACGTAGTTTTGGCGAATATGAGGACTAGATAAAACACAATAATTGTCATGAAATATTTATCTCATGTATTTCCCTTGAGAAAGGGAAGCAAAACATATGTATACACAGGAAATGGAAGAATTTTTTTCTGACGACCGTTATGTAAAGCATTTGCAAAGAGCCACTTAAACCACAGAATTGGTTTACACAGAATTGGTTTAAAGTTGTGGAACTGATTAAAAATGCAAACAAGCGCTAAGAAACATTGTAATAAGCGCTATATAAATATAATGTATTATTATTATTTATCTATTCTTAAACCTTTACCCACTGTAACAAAGTTAAATTACAGTTATGTAAAGCATTTGCAAAGAGCCCCTTAAACCACAGAATTGGTTTAAAGTTGTGGAACTGATTAAAAATGCAAACATTATCATAATGGGTGGATCATGCCATATACATGGATTCATCATTCTTATTTCATGATAACCAACGACATGAATGAACATCCTCACAAAAAGCTATTATGGGCAACATTGCCATTCGTCGGGTTGTTTAGTAACTTTTGCATTGCTAGAAATAATAGGAAACAAAATGAAATAATTAACGCCAGAGTATAGTGAATTCTGCTAGTAATTTATCACCAAATTTTCAAATGTTATAAATATGAGGCCATGAATGGGTGTCGAACTTTATGAGCCTTTCATAGAACCATGATTAACATATAGTGACAAATCTTGAGATCTTGACTAGTATTGAAGGCATTTTTGTGAATATCTTCAAAGCATTGACCTATAGCCGAGATCGCCATCCGAAAAAATTAGAAACGACATTCGTCATGTCATTGATCATTATATGTCCGATCTTATGTTATATTTGCTTATAAAAGTTGTGACAATGTTTATAAAGCTATAACCACAGTCCGCCATTGAGTTGCGGAGTTATGTTTCCCCACATTAAACAGGTGAAGTTATGTAAAGTATGAAGTGCCAATTAATGACGGCCACAGTTAATCACTATTTGCATAGTCGAATGTTTGCTATTACGAACAAAAATATGAAAGAAAGTCTTAGAATACAAGATTATCCTTAACTCATTCCATACAGATTTTGCTTGATTAGGAATCGGGTTCAAGGCGCCACCAATGTGGGGGTAGATCCAGTAGATTATATGCCAGTTCACAAACGATTATGTGATTTTCTCTTAACACACTTACCTGACTGATTCCAGGAATACAGTATGGTCTGTACTTTGTTAGGAGCAGTGACTAATGCACAGTGAGGTATTATCAGCTTTGCCGGTTTCTTAAAGCGTAGCCCAGACGGGTAGCACTGGAAGCCATGGCTAACTAGAAGCTCGTCCTCTTTAAGCGTAAGGCCATTTGGAATCTCGGTCAGTACCTGAAGGCTGATCTCCTCATCTTCCTCAAGGGCACCAGGTGGAATGTGGAGTGTAAACCCATAGGATTTGGTAGACAGCTTTCCTCCAAGGGCCCCCAAATGTCCAGTTGCAGATCTACCATCTGATATTAAACAGCATTGCAAATATATGTATTAACAGCATACTCTCCAGTACATGTATGTTATACCAGCTCTGACGTATCATGCTAGAGCTATACAGTGCATGTACCCACACATGACAAAGTTGTCCAGAATATAAATGCAAACATTATGATGAAGCAAAATGTTTGATACAAGAAAACACACAACATAAAACAACGTACGATAGTTAAAGATTAAAACAAAATGTTATATCAAATTATTGAAGGCGATGGGTGCGAGGTGTACGAGGAATTGACAGTGGTCATAGTTTTATATACAATATAATGTTTATTGCACATAGTAGCTAATCTATATTCCTTCAAGCTACCCATCCCAATTTTAATTGTCAATATGGCATGAAAATAATTTTTTGTCTTGAATTTATATTTAGCTATAGCCTAGGGAAAAGCATATCAATTAATTGAATGTTAAATTTCCGGGTATCCATAACAGCATCTTTATTTTCCGTGTTTCATTCATTTTAATTACTCGTGGAGGCCTATCCAATAGTTGCTCTCTTACCTATATGGCTGAGTAAAATGACTGTTCAAAGAGACCTTAGAGAATACTTTATTTATTTATTGTATACATATTATGTTGAACATAGGGTGAAAGGCTCAGTTTTAATTGAATACCCTCAATGTAACTGTGGAATACAAGAAAGTGATTTGATTGATCATTGTCGTTTACATTCATAAAGCCAATAAATTACATCAAGCAGTAGAAGACTATAATTGCATAATTTATGATACCCTCGGTTTTCTCTGCTTTCGATGAGTCCTGCACAGATTCCCAAACCAGCTTCAGTGTCTGCTTTGCTTTAGGCCCTGAAGTCTGAGATGCTATCCAATGTGAGAGCATTTGGATGTTAGCGTTATTCCTGTTGTACAATGTGCGATGTTCGATGTGTTGTAACTCTGACTTGTTGAATCCCAGCTTCCCGCCAATCTCATAGAACTTCTTTGGTCTGATCTGACGGGCGAACGCAAGCAGTGTCCTGCCAGGAATTTCTCTGTATCATTGGATAAAGTCTAAGTTAAGAAACCAACAAGTATATTTTTCTCGTTTCTTCAAATAATTCAAATCGCCGAGAGATACTAGTATGTGGATGGTCGTGTGTGTTAATGTTGTTTTTTCTCCTTTTATGTCTTTCTGCCAGCTCATTTGCACCCCTCATATCATCTTCTTTCCTCCTCTTCTTTTTTCCTCTCGATTTTTCTTCTCGTCGATTGGGTTTCAACGCAATTCAGACTATTCAACTGTATTACCGTTGGCTCCCTCCCCATCACTATAATATGCATTCTGTATTCTTGTTTCCATCCCGTTCAAATGTGATTCATTATCTTAAATAGTCGTTCCAATTATTATGTTATTAGGACATTTCCTTTGTATTTTGATTATATTTTGATTTGTCACAATTGTTTGTCTTACAGTCTTTTTATCCATTTGTAAGGAATTCGTTTACTTTATTGTAAGTTGTTGAGACTGTTTTTAAACATTGGAACATACAATTTATACTTGCTTTGCATTAAAACCTATGCCTCACATTAACCGTCTTGTATTGCTAATACTACAGTCAGTTTATTTTCATTGGCGGAAACAAAGAGCACTGGACGGACGTTCAATATCAATTCTATCAACACCTTAGTAAAATATTGATATAAATTAGAATCTTACCCAGCCACTCCAATGTCTGATGCACGTAGATGAAGCAAAAGTAGAACAGGAAGATATAAACATAAAAACAAATAAGAATACAAATGTAATAATAAACAATATACCTTTAAAAAAGGAAATAAAGCTAGTTGTTTGCCTCGTTTTAATACGCCAAGCCAATTAACTATTGTACTTCTCTCATACTCCCGTATACACATATGATGTAGATAAGTATTAATTTTAGTATCCCACCGTCTAGCAGCGCACAACACGGCCATACAAGTTGTATGAGGTGCCAGTATGCATGCAATACACATAATTATTATATATTATCCTGATTATAGAACTCGATGACTCTAAGTTGCTTGAAAAACAACTGGAAGCACTTGTGTGTACTCGTCCCTAAGTTAGCAGAAAGGTTGAAGCCTATTGTTTTACAACAATTTGGGTTTAATGTGGGTACCATTTTAAAAACAGTGAATTTCTCCTTTTTTGAATTTTTGTTTCTAGTGTATTATAGGGTAGTCATTTTCTTCATGTTAAATGGACATCGACTATATATATAGAAAGACAAACCGACACTTTGTTCAAAAGTCAAACCTGAAATGTCCGTTTCTTCTGCTGGTGAATATATAGATTCCATGAGTGACAGAAACGTTTCCTTTGCTGCTTGGCCGGACGGTTGTCTCTCTCTCCATGTCACCAACATGTCATAGATGGCCTGCTCTTTGTCATGGAACCTCCTGTATTCTATGACATCCAGTTGTTGTATGGTGAAACCAAGAGCTACTCCCAAATCATAGAACTGGTCTACCGTCATTGTTTGCGCTACTGTAAGGACATCATTGTCCGTTAGGTCACTTTTCAAGACTTCTTCCACTGCCCTGCAAGATAATGTGAAGGTGTTCTGGTAAATTTTCTTTGTTGAAACTACTTTAAAATGATGGTTATAAAGATAGGAAAACAACCTGACGCTAATGACTTATGGCAGGACATTTCTTTGTATTTGTCCATGTACATCAAAGACCCCGGAATGATTACACGACAAATGTTCCGAAGGCAATGGCTTCGTGGTGAATATGTATAGCACGTACACATTTACTACACAAACTTCATCTTATGACCAAAGGCTACGTCCATTCCGATATATAAAGGTAACCCAAAATTCGATTACTTCATCGGCCCTATGCATATCTTTGACGAAATAGAAATAGAAACGGAGAATTGCTACCGAATCTAATTTTGATCACCTTTGCAAAGTAAAAAAAAATGAGGTGGGGGAACAAATTGTTCTAGTCCTGAATGAAAAACAGAAAACAGATGAACTGGTTTTATATATCCCGAATTCTTAAAGAGTGTAAAAAAAAATGGTTTACATGTAGCTTTGCTCAAATGAAACAGCATTGTTATCTATTTACTACACAAATGCCTAAATTCAACTCTAAATGCTACATTCATTTCAATCTATAAACGCAACCTCAAATTTGATTGCCTCATCGGCCCTATCAATATTTTTTGACGAAATGGTACGGTGAAACGGAGATACATGTATGTCATCGAATCAATTTCTGATTACATTCGCAACGTAGAAATAATGGGATGCAAAAAGTACTTGCATTAATAAAATTATTTTCTTCAACTCACAAAATGAAAATCAAAAACAGATTTGAAACTTACCGAAGAAATGATGGGGGCTCAGAAGGAGATAGGTACTCCTGTCCATCTACAATTTTCGATAGAAAGGGCAAATAAAGAGTATATGGGAATGACTTTTGCTTTTTATTATTATTATTATTACTACTATTATACAATTTCCTCTGCTTATGGTCACTAGTTTTCAAACAGTTTGCTGAAACTTTTAGGCCATAATTAAACGTACAGAAGAAGTATATGTATAAAATGTCATGTGAAAATGAGCATTAAAAAAAAAGCAATTATTCATATGCCCATATTTCGTATTTCATGACAAACTGCCAGACCAGTTAAAGCTCTCCTCTATGGAGAGCTCGAGACTGGATCAAGAAAGGTCGGTCGGCCACTGCTGCGCTATAAAGACGTAATGAAAGCAACGCTACAGAGAGGAGAGGTTATAAAGAGTTGGAAAGCAGTAGTGGAGGACAGGAAGCAATAGAGAGATATTGCGTCGGAAGTGTGCTACAAAGTAGATGATTGGAGGATTGGTCAAAACTGTCAACGGCGAGCAAAAGACACTCAAGAAAACAAGGAAGATCTTATGAGAAACCAAGATTGTTGTGAGGAGAAGAATTTTGTGAATTATTTTAAGATGTTTTGTATGTTTAAAATATTTATGTAATTGCTGTGTATCTCATTTTTAATTTATAAACAAAAAACCAAAGTGAATGTGTATAAGTTTTCATGAATGTTCTGTGTAAAACCTGTTTCCGGACAGTAGGCGTATATATATGTTATAACAATCATACCAAAAAGATAATAAAACACATTCCGAACTGAATTTGATTTCATTTTTCGGATAATTTTGGGTATTCATTGCTTATGGAAAAACATTACACTCGGATGCAATCATTTCTAAGCGCTGGATATCATTTCTCGTGCAAAGTGTTCTAGTTATTACGAGTTATGAATCATGAACTGACTGATAATTTGTCATTAAGTGCACAAATATGATAAAGAAAGATTATACTTGTGTGTCTGGTGATAAAAGCAATTGATCGAGACGCCCCTAGCCTTCCAGCCTGTGTAATCGTAATAGTTATCCTTGTGAATTCTTCGTCATCCTCAGTAGGAGTCACGGACAACAATATGTTGTGTCTAATCTTGCCATAAACATCCTTCAAAGAGAGAACCTATGATATTGAAATAAATAGAAAAATAACAATACTAATTTTAAAACGATGTCATTACGAGGAAAAATACAACAAAGTCGATATGTGTAAATTTATTCATAGCATCTCGTGTAACCAACACGATCACAATTATTTTCGATAAATCAGCTCAAGGGCGATTTCAATACCCTATTTTGTATCTCATTAAAATCATGTTCAACTACGTCATGGTCGTTATTTCACAATTCACACATTTCAATAAATGTCATACGAGGACATTAAAATTCCCTTTGGTTTATATCCTTGGTGTGAACTGCATCTCCATCAAACCTTACGCATCAATAGGATGATAATTCATGTCGGATAACTTCATCAAACACGGGAGGAAATGTTTAAGTAAAAGTGCCCGGTAATAGTGTCAGATAAAAAAATGTCACAGGGAGAAATTTCAGAGGTAAGAGCGGTAAAACGTGAGAATACATTTTCATAAGAAAGAAAAAACAGCTTTATCATCAAATAAAGCCATTGCTATGAAAATACAAAAGTTATATATTTGCTACAGATTATTATAGTAAACATTAACCCGTCATACAGATCCTTTTGAGTTCTGATTACCTTGCTTTCAACTTGTCTGCCCTCACGATGACACGTCACTGTGACGTCACCAGACTTAGATTCAACACTGAAGGGAACAGAGCGATGGCTCTTGTGGTACGACTGTTGTTTCTTCTCCTGTCGTATATCCTATTACAAAGGAAGAGATTAAGTACCGTTGATAGACTTTCATGATAAACCGCAATTTCCTTTCGGTGAAGAAAATGTTTTGAACCTCAACAGAAAACTAATGACTTGTTAATCATTCTTAGAATGAAGTGGTTCTAATTGTTTCTTGGCATTGAAAAATCACGGTTCTTAAAACATCCATACTCATAGATAAATTGGAAGGTTCAATAATTTTTCTTTTAACAATTCAATTGTTTGGCTAAAAAAAAAATTCACCTATGCACCATTTTCGTAATGGATCAAATTTAATGCATAAATATTTTTTAAGTGTCTTGTTACAAATTATTTCATTCACTTGCTATGAATAATTGTATTTCAATTATAGTCAAAATGCGAATTGCATACATTACGTAATGTTTGGTACGACAAGCCGTAATGTTTTTATCCTACATATAGCAACAATCAATGTATGCAATCCGCATTCTTACTATTGAAATTACAATTATTCGTAAAATAACTTGTAAAGAGGCACTTGACAAAGGTGGGTCCGTAGCTATAAATTATGAATGCTATCCGCATTCTGACTATTGAAATACATTTATTCGTAAAATAATTTGCAATGGGGTACTTTACAAAGATCGATTTTAATTACATTACGAGAATGATCAATTGCGGGAACACAAAATTGGTTGATATTACTCGTGCAAATAAATGCGGGCTATGTCTTGATTTTTAAGAAGGGCTCTATGTAGATGAAAGACACGGACAATCGTATAATTCATTGCAAACAAATTTTAAGAACCATACGTCAGAGGGATTCCAACGAAGAGCCTTAATGGGGTGCCTAATACGGGAAAAGATATGATAGCATTGCATTTTTTAATTATATCATGTAAACGAATAATAATTAACTTTGATTCCTTTATAGTTTTATGAAGACTTCCATTCATTGCGTAGCAATAAGACGGGCTTCCACTAAAACAGAATCAGACTTTCAGAAGAAGCCAGTATAAGAACTGGTGAAACGTTGCGGAGAAGTTGTAAGTAATACATTCCAACAAGTGATTGATAATAATCAATTGCTATTTACTGACCGTTTCGATCCCAGGAAGGTCCGCATGCATCTGCAGGTGAACTTCAAACTCTTTGCCTCTCTCTATCTTGTCAGGGATGTATGGGGTACACATAAGTTGTTGTCGGATCACCTGTTGTTCAAGAGGAATAAGAACCCACCACTCAGCACAGTGATCAATGTACAGCTCAAGATGTCTCCTGAACACTCTACAGTATGGTGGTTCGGCCGGTGAGCTAGATGAGCGTTTTCTTGATGTTCTCGGTATATCTGGTGTCAGTGGGTAACAAAAACAAAAACAAACAAAAAATCGTGGAGGAGTGCTTTTTTGCCATAGGCCGATTTGTCCCTTTAACAGTAAAACCACAGATGTATAATGACATCAAATATTTATCAATAGTGGATGTTCTAGTGAAGAATAATTATTCTAGCTGGTTTCGAATTTAAGAAGCCATATTAAAAAGCATTAATTACCCCTTCACCCCTTCCACTTTACTGAAAATTTCTACAAATACATGTTAGTTGCAAATTGTTCCTCATGAAGTTTTGGCACTGTGATGAGGCCGATACTTAGAGCATAAAGTTCGAGATAAAAATCAGAAATTAAGATTAAAGAGGCAAGGCTGAATATCTTTAAGAATACACCTGATGGTGGCGCTGGCCTGTACTACTAGCGAAGAGGAAGACGATATAATAGATTTCATAACAAATATTTTCAATTTTTTTCAAATGAGGATGATGATGATAATGATGGCTTCTAAAGTGCCGGTGTCCGCCTCAGATAGGCGCTCATGGCGATTGCTCTACAATGTCTTACATATGCTTATAGTGTATCTCGGTGTATCAATTTGCATTTATCCCAGCATTTAAAAAGGTAATTTTCTTAATCTGACCAAATAGATTTACCCTTGACTGAATCCCATACACGGGAGACGATGTCTGGTTTCACTCGATCAGGGTTTGTGACCAAGGAATAGTGTGGTATCCTGATCTTAACAGGTTGGTGGAATATCATGTTTGGAGGATCACATCTGATCCCGTAGCAGACCATTGATTCATCATCTTGGATGTCAACACTGGGAGTGTCTCGTAAGAGGGTTAACGTGACCGTGCACGGGTCACTCTGATGAACAGCATCCGGAGAAATATACAGTGATACGCCATGGTCCTCGATTTCGATTTCCTGACTGGTATTCATTTCGACTTCGACTGAGACGATGGAAGGAGTTGATGGTTCATCTTTTATTTATTTCAAACATAAGGAAATGACACAATAATAAGAATTGACATAATCGACAAAGTAACTGTAAATTCAGATCGGGAAGTCATTGGAATGATATACCAATATTTATAAATACAGTTTTCATCTCATTTCTGCTCCAAAAAAAAAAGGATTCACTTTGTTACAACTGCAACGGTTGAGTTATTTTCCCAAACACTGACATCCCTTCCTGGTTTGTAACATTTGAATTAGGGTCTATGGTCAATCAATAACGTATTATCGATATTGCTTCTTTAATTATATTTATCTGTTTATTATCTGGTCGTTCAACGTTCATCTCTCGTATTTGGGTCATTAATGGAACCCTGACTCTTAGTTCTTCAACCATGAATACAAATGCAGTTTTTGTAGGGAGCACGTGAGCGAGTTGGGTGTGCGATTAAGTAATACAAATGGCCCAGCCAATGAATTCCTAAATTCTCTGTTCTTTGGGATGGAAAACTGAAAAATAATCTTCGCTTGACTTTAGTCTGTGACTTAATGGATAAGAAAAAATAGACGCATTAGTTTAGCATTTACACTAAAAAAAAGCTGTTTGTGTTTGAAGGATGTTCTTACCTCGATAAGACTGGATCTCCTCTAAAGAAGGTAATCTGAAATTAATCAGTGCAGATGTAATAAAGTCGATAAGTCATTTCTAAACAATTTGTGCTGTGAAAACGTGTATTTGTTTCCACTGATGAAAAATCAAATAAATTATATTGACATGAATCGAACAACTGTTAAATGTCAGACATTTATCGAGGCCCATATTAAAAGAAGAGAGACACTAATCTTAGCATTGTGTAGGAACAGAAGAAAAATACATATTTTTTGACCTGGTAATGCGGTAAAATACAATTCTCATAAAACCCAAACAATTAAAGAACGACAGTTAGTTCATATTTTCTTAACGATTGATTTTCTAAACAAATAATATATTTATACATGTATATACAGAAGGGAAAAAGGATGGAGTGGAGTTTACGACCTAGTAGGCTTCACTTACTAGCCCCGAACAAAGTAACAGTCACAATTGTCACAAAATATGTACAAGTTATTGTTTGAACAACACATTTATAGTCAACTGTTAAGATTTACAAACTATAAGGCTAGACTATCTAATTCAATACACAATTATATCACCAAGATGAAGAAATGCATTATTTCCTTGGGTTTTGATCAATCTTTTGTTTTACAACTGGACTGAATGTTATTATTTTAGACTTAAAAGTATCACCTCGACAGAATCATCTGTTTGACAACTTCGTCCTTGGCATATTGAATTGGTAGGTTGCCAGTCTTGTCCCTCACATCTAACTTGGCTTCATTCTCTAGGAGATAAAACACCAAGGCCTTCTCAGGAGATAGTTCGCCCTTGTAATACTCATCAGAGATCTGAAACATAAAAATGTATATGCTTTTTTTTACTTGAACAGTATCGTCCATCAATAGACAGGGTGGATGAGCACCATATATACGCGAAGTTTAACGCTGCCTCTTGGATTCACAGTTGTGAAAATTCCTATTTACGTTGTACATTTCCCCCACTCACACAAACACACGCACCAACATAAACATTTTCTTAGGCCAATCATGGGTATCAGATTTTAGGATTCACTAATGACCTAGACTAGACGAGCATTATATGTCGGTGACACCGCCCTAACGACTTCATGTCGACTCCAAAACTGACCAATATTAGCCCGTAACACAATCTGTTGTTCAGACTCTCGTCAGTCTGGTGTCGGTCTCGTTTGTGTAACTGGGGTACTACTCACCTCTTTTAGTGTATCCGAGTCATGCATAATCCTGTCGCTCTTATAGCAGAGTTTAATGGCTTTATGGAGACACGTCTGGCCGTCAGTTGATTGGGCATTGATATCAGCTCCCTCAGAAACTAACTTCTCAATAGTGGATGTATGACCGTCTTGGATGGCAAGATAGATATCCGTTAAATCTATCTGGCCGAGCTGGATATAAGAAAACACGCAGCATGAAAACTTGATTTTTAAATTTAAAAAACTGCTATGAAAGACTAAAGTTCGATAAAGTATTTAGTTTCAAGTGATCAATTAATCAGTGATAAGATAACTTTTTATATGTATATTGACAAAAAGTTAAGAAACAGGACTAGGGTCTCACTGGTGTTATTATCACGACCGTCATTATCCAGAATAAAACTTGCTTGGGGCGATCGGGCTTTCTCTGCAATGGGTCCAAAACTCTGGAATAAGCTCCCTCTAAAAATACGCCAACTGTCATTAACAGCAACATTCAAATTACAACTGAAAACTTATTTGTTCATTTCGTTGTAAATATTGTAATATTTTAATTTACCATTTCTAGGAGAATTTCGAATTTTGTTTTTTCTTTCTTATGCCTGTTACATGTCCTTTTCTCTAAACGCCATGAGCACCGAAAGGTGGACCTGTGCGCTATACAATTAGCCACTATTATTATTATTATTATTATCTCCCTTATTCACCTCGGATCCTTGACTGATGAGATATTTGGTGACATCAAGATGACCTTTATGAGTAGCAACGCTTAATGCTGTCATACCGCTATTATTTCTTTTATTCACATCAGCTCCTTGACTGATCAGATATTTGGTTACATCAAGATGACCTTTATGAGTAGCAACGTGTAGTGCTGTCGTACCGTTATTATCTCCCCTATTCACCTCAGCTCCTTGACTGATGAGATATTTGGTGACATCAAGATGACCCTGCATAGCAGAAGCGTGTAGTGCTGTCATACCGTTATCATGTATATTATTCACTTCAGCTCCTTGACTGATGAGATATTTGGTGACATCAAGATGACCCCCCTGGGCAGAAACGTGTAGTGCTGTCATACCGTTATTATGTATATTATTCACCTCAGTTCCTTGACTGATCAGATATTTGGTGACATCAAGATGACCCTCCTGAGCAGAAACGTGAAGTGCTGTCATACCGGTATTAGCTCCCTTATTCACCTCAGCTCCTTGACTGATCAGATATTTGGTGACATCAAGATGACCCCCCTGAGCAGCACTGTGTAATGCTGTCCAACCTTCATTATCTCCCTCATTCACCCCAGCTCTTTGACTGATGAGATATTTGGTGACATCAAGATGACCCTTAGAAGCAGCATAGTGTAATACTGTCTTACCGTTATTATCTTCCTTATTCACCTCAGCTCCTTGGCTGATGAGGTATTTGATGACATCAAGATGACCCCCCTGAGCAGAAGCATGTAACGCTGTCCTACCGCTATTAGATCTTTTATTCACATCAGCTCCTTGACTGATGAGATATTTGGTTACATCAAGACGACCCTCCTGAGCAGAAGTGTGTAGTGATGTCATACCGTCATTTGCACCATTATTCACCTCAGCTCCTTGACTGATGAGATATTTGGTGACATCAAGATGACCTTTATGAGTAGCAACGTGTAGTGCTGTCATACCGTTATTATCTCCCTTATTCACCTCGGCTCCTTGACTGATCAGATATTTGGTGACATCAAGATGACCCTGCTTAGCAGAAATGTGTAGTGCTATCATACCGTTATCATGTATATTATTCACCTCAGCTCTTTGACTGATCAGATATTTGGTGACATCAAGATGACCTTTATGAGTAGCAAAGTGTAGTGCTGTCATACCGTTATTATCTCCCTTATTCACCTCAGCTCCTTGACTGATCAGATATTTGGTGACATCAAGATGACCCTGCAGAGCAGAAGAATGTAACGCTGTCCTACCGCTATTACATCTTTTATTCACATCAGCTCCTTGACTGTTGAGATATTTGGTGACATCAAGATGACCCCTCTGAGCAGAACCATGTAACGCTGCCCTACCGCTATTAGATCTTTTATTCACATCAGCTCCTTGACTGATGAGATATTTGGTTACATCAAGATGACCCTCCTGAGCAGAAGTGTGTAGTGATGTCATACCGTCATTTGCACCATTATTCACCTCAGCTCCTTGACTATTGAGATATTTGGTGACATCAAGATGACCCCCCTGAGCAGAAGCATGTAACGCTGCCCTACCGCTATTAGATCTTTTATTCACATCAGCTCCTTGACTGATGAGATATTTGGTTACATCAAGATGACCTTTATGAGTAGCAACGTGTAGTGCTGTCATACCGTTATTATCTCCCTTATTCACCTCAGCTCCTTGACTGATGAGATATTTGGTGACATCAAGATGACCCTGCATAGCAGAAGCGTGTAGTGCTGTCATACCGTTATCATGTATATTATTCACTTCAGCTCCTTGACTGATGAGATATTTGGTGACATCAAGATGACCCCCCTGGGCAGAAGCGTGTAGTGCTGTCATACCGTTATCATGTATATTATTCACCTTAGCTCCTTGACTGATGAGATATTTGGTGACATTAAGATGACCCTCCTGAGCAGAAGCGTGTAGTGCTGTCATACCGGTATTAGCTCCCTTATTCACCTCAGCTCCTTGACTGATCAGATATTTGGTGACATCAAGATGACCCCCCTGAGCAGCACTGTGTAATGCTGTCCAACCGTCATTATCTCCCTCATTCACCCCAGCTCTTTGACTGATGAGATATTTGGTGACATCAAGATGACCCTTAGAAGCAGCATAGTGTAATACTGTCTTACCGTTATTATCTTCCTTATTCACCTCAGCTCCTTGGCTGATGAGGTATTTGATGACATCAAGATGACCCCCCTGAGCAGAAGCATGTAACGCTGTCCTACCGCTATGAGATCTTTTATTCACATCAGCTCCTTGACTGATGAGATATTTGGTTACATCAAGATGACCCTCCTGAGCAGAAGACGTGTGTAGTGATGTCATACCGTCATTTGCACCATTATTCACCTCACCTCCTTGACTGATGAGATATTTGGTGACATCAAGATGACCTTTATGAGTAGCAACGTGTAGTGCT